CCATCATTGGGCTTCTGAGTCAGTCGTGGGCTGCAATAGATTCAGTCTACTGGCAATTCATCCACGTTATTCATTTACATAATTATTCATAATTTGCATATATTTACGTAGATACTAGAAATTTGCATGTTTATTTTTTAAAATCAATATTAATGCATAATTAAAAAGTAATAATGTTTTAGTTTGATTATTAAACTGTATTTTAGGCTATAGACTGGTGAAATTGAAGTAAGTATTATATTAAGAAAATAAATTTATTGTAAATATGGAAGGAAAATTTGTAAAATTTTATCTCATGAAAGGTCAACTTTTTTTTTATGTATCGGGGACACTGTTAGCATCAATTTACACCATTCTAAATTTTTAGACGTCTGTGGTTCCTGCAATTCCACTAAAACTAAATGTTTGATGACATCACTAATGGCGAAGGGCATTATCTAAAGCATATTTGATGATATTATATGAAATAAAGAGCACAGTCCCTTTAACTAAGTACATTGTTCTCCAACTTGAATCTATTTTTAGAACTATGATTCATTGTGAATGATAAAGCTATTCTGGTCGGTTAGCCAGTATGGCAAATATTATATATATCCCTTTGGACAATGAAACAATTTAGATAATTAAGGCCTCATCTGGTTTGGATATCTGGACTCACAGTGACTCATTAAAAGATGACTTTAAAGGGATTATTATATTCCCTTTTTTGATTAATGCTTAGTGTTGATGCTATAGTAACCAGCTTGTTATTTAATATCCCTTTTAACAATTAAATAATTAAAAGAAGTAAGGACTCTTCTGTTTGGATATTTTGACTCACAATGACTCATCAAAAGATGACTTCTTACACAGTTGAGTTTTAGCTAAATGAAGTGACCAGACTCAAAGAAATAAGTGACTCAAAAAAATGACTCAAGAATGACTTACAATATGTGACTGACAAAAGAGTGACTCACAAAATTTACTTGATGAAAAAAATGACTCATGAAAAAATGACTCAATATTTTTGACTTATGGAAAAGAGTGACTCTATATTAGTGACTCTTTAAAAAAAAGTGACTCTTAACAGATTCCACTATATAGTAAAAATCATCATGTAATCAAAGTGAACATTTTAAAAAATTATGACTCAGATAAAAATATATTCATGTCTGCTGCTAAAAGAGTTGACTCCTATATAAATTGACCTCTGATAAAGTGACTCTTATTTTTTTGACCTGAAAAACTGTGACTCCAATATTAACGACCTCTGAAAAACTGTGACTCTTTACCCTTGAAAAAATCATGACTCATTAAAAACTGGAGTACCAATCCCATGTCAATGATAAATCAGTAATTACTTCTAAGCTTATCTCTTTTTAGTCACGCAAATCACGTCTGGGAGATAAAAAATTATCTCCAAAACTACACTGATAACAATGGTGATAATAGTACGCAAACAATCACAAAAAAATATTCAAAATTCTAAGGGCTTATTACATTCTCTTTTTATTGATTAATGCTTAGTGTTGCTATAGTAACCAGCTTGTTATTTAATAGGCTTAGAGGAATTTTATTGGTTGTTGAAGTTTCTGTGAGTGGTTTATTGTCATGTAAATAACCATAGCTGTACTGCTGACTGGCATAGTTGATTGGCTTTGTGAGCTGTCTCAGCAAAGAAAGGGCGTTTATTTTGGCAGTGAGCCAAGTTGTTATAAATCATGTGTGTTGTAACCAATGGCAACCCACTGATTGATGTTTATACCCTCAAGGGTTTTATTTGTTCACTTCAAAGTTCTGTGTAAAGGTCACTGGTTGATTTCAACTCTGGTTTTTATGTGAACACATGGTTTGGTGGTAGGTAAGCAATGTGGTTCAATTAAGCATGCTTTCAGTGCTTAGTAAGCAGTGAGATAACATGTGGGTTTATAGTATTACCTTGTACAACATTGTTGAGTTCTATTGAGTTTGTGTTACTTTGGTGTTTGTTCTTTTTATGTTTAGTTTATAGGTATCAGTGCTTATTCAGCAGTATGTTTATAGTATTACCTTGTACAACATTGTTGAGTTTGAGTTGAGTGTAACAGGATGTATGATTGAGCATGCTTTCAGTGCTTGGTAAGAAGTAAGGTAACATGTGGGTTTATAATAATACCTTGTACAACATTGTTAAGATATTTTGATTTTGTTTTATTGAGTTGGGAATAATAAATTTTTCTGAGTGTTGAGTGAAACAGGATTTTTAATAAAGCATGCTTTCAGTGCTTATTAAGCAGTGAGGTAAGATGTTAGGGTTGTATTATTTAGTACAACATAGTAATAGCTTGTATGACATTGAATAAATGTTTCATCATACCCTTGTATTTTGTTCAGTTAAGTGTATAACTGAGCATGTTGATAACTTCTTCTTGATGACCGCTTCGGAAAAATTATGTTGATAACTGAGAGTGAATTATCTTTTATAGTGTTATAGTGTTTGTTGTGATGAGTAGTTGAATTAAGCATGCTTTAGGTGCTTCTTAAGCAGTGAGATAACCATGTACGTTTGTACTATTACATTGTACAACATTAAATAACGGAACACAATTTTATGGTATACTACTCCTTAGTTTTATTACACACAACATTTCAACAATCTACATTGTCATCTTCTACTATTCCTTAGTTTTATTACACACAACATTTCAACAATCTACATTGTCATCTTCTACTACTCCTTAGTTTTATTACACACAACGTTTCAACAATCTACATTGTCATCTTCTACTATTCCTTAGTTTTATTACACACAACGTTTCAACAATCTACATTGTCATCTTCTACTATTCCTTAGTTTTATTACACACAACGTTTCAACAATCTACATTGTAATCTTCTACTACTCCTTAGTTTTATTACACACTATGTTTCAACAATCTACATTGTCATCTTCTACTATTCCTTAGTTTTATTACACACAACGTTTCAACAATCTACATTGTCATCATCAGTTTATATAGTATACTACTCCTCAGTTTTATTACACACTACGTTTCAACAATCTACATTGTCATCATCTACTACTCCTTAGTTTTATTACACACAACGTTTCAACAATCTACATTGTCATCTTCTACTACTCCTTAGTTTTATTACACACTACATTTCAACAATCTACATTGTCATCTTCTACTATTCCTTAGTTTTATTACACACTACGTTTCAACAATCTACATTGTCATCTTCTACTATTCCTTAGTTTTATTACACACAATGTTTCAACAATCTACATTGTCATCTTCTACTATTCCTTAGTTTTATTACACACAACGTTTCAACAATCTACATTGTCATCTTCTACTACTCCTTAGTTTTATTACACACAACGTTTCAACAATCTACATTGTCATCTTCTACTACTCCTTAGTTTTATTACACACAACGTTTCAACAATCTACATTGTCATCTTCTACCCCTAAATGTCGCTAAAGGATTATTGTACAACATAGTTACTCCAGTTTTTTTTTTATGAATTGATAAGTATCAATGCTTAAGTAGTAGAGTGACATGTGAGTTTTCTTATTCACTTTGTACAACATTGTTGTATTATGTATGATTGAATTGAGTTAAAGAGAGTAAGAATTTCAATATGATTATTTAGTAGTGGAAGGATAACACGTGGTTGGATTATGGTCTACAGTTGTGTTAGTTTTGAGATGAATTTTGATGTGATTAAAGAAATTGGATACTTATTAAACATTGAGGTAACATGTGTTGATTTTGTAGTATTACCTTGTACAACATTGTTGAGATATTGATTTTGAGTTTGTTGTCATGTTGAGTGAAACAGAATGATTAATTGAGCATGCTTTTGGTGCTTATTGAGCAGTTTTGTGGCACGTTTGTTTTAGAATAAAAATGCATTTAGCATTAAGTTATTTTGAATTCGCTTTTAAAGGTGTTCTAACACCATAGAGATTATTAATTGCGTATGTTTGTGAATAATGAAACTTGCCATGAGTTCCTAATGCAACTCATTACTCAAAACATATAACAACTATTCTTATCCTCAATCATAAACAATGACTGTGATAGCCACTTTATTTTTCCTTTTTTGACTAGAATTTATTGGTTTCCAGATACTGAGTTTAGTGTTTATTGGAGAATGTTAATGGATGATTATAAAGCAGGTTATTTGAATAGTACATTGTATTACTTTCTGGTGTTTTTGTGTTAATATTAAATTGTAATGGAGGTTTTGTCTCTATTGAATATGCGATATATTAAATTTCATATGAAACTTAATATTACATTCAGCATATTTTTAAATGCATATTATACAGAGAGTTTTATGTTAGATATTTGGCCTTCATAGCGTGTTTGTGTGAGATATTTGGCCTTCATAGTGTGTTTATGTGAGATATTTGGCCTTAATAGTGTGTTTGTGTGAGATATTTGGCCTTAATAGTGTGTTTGTGTGAGATATTTGGCCTTAATAGTGTGTTTATGTGAGATATTTGGCCTTAATAGTGTTTGTGTGAGATATTTGGCCTTAATAGTGTGTTTGTGTGAGATATTTGGCCTTAATAGTGTGTTTGTGTGAGATATTTGGCCTTAATAGTGTGTTTGTGTGAGATATTTGGCCTTAATAGTGTTTGTGTGAGATATTTGGCCTTAATAGTGGGTTTGTGTGAGATATTTGGCCTTGATAGTGTGTTTGGGTGAGATATTTGGCCTTAATAGTGTGTTTGTGTGAGATATTTGGCCTTAATAGTGTGTTTGTGTGAGATATTTGGCCTTAATAGTGTTTGTGTGAGATATTTGGCCTTAATAGCGGGTTTGTGTGAGATATTTGGCCTTCATAGTGTGTTTGGGTGAGATATTTGGCCTTAATAGTGTGTTTGTGTGAGATATTTGGCCTTAATAGCGTGTTTGTGTGAGATATTTGGCCTTAATAGTGTGTTTATGTGAGATATTTGGCCTTAATAGTGTTTGTGTGAGATATTTGGCCTTAATAGTGTGTTTGTGTGAGATATTTGGCCTTAATAGTGTGTTTGTGTGAGATATTTGGCCTTAATAGTGTGTTTGTGTGAGATATTTGGCCTTAATAGTGTTTGTGTGAGATATTTGGCCTTAATGGTGGGTTTATGTGAGATATTTGGCCTTGATAGTGTGTTTGTGTGAGATATTTGGCCTTGATAGTGTGTTTGTGTGAGATATTTGGCCTTAATGGTGTGTTTATGTGAGATATTTGGCCTTGATAGTGTGTTTGTGTGAGATATTTGGCCTTAATAATGTATTTGTGTTTGATATTTGGTGTGAGTGTGAGCATAGAAAAATGTTAGTCATCTAACACATTACTAAAGTATATAACTAAATGTCTTATTGAAATACTGGCGTAGGTCATAGGCAATTTATCTATTCTTTAGACCTAAATTGTATGGATTAATAGTAAAGTGATGCATAGGTGAATAATAACTTTTCTATCGATTTTGTCTAATGATTTTGTGTATGTAATACGCAATAACAAGTTTCTGTATTATTACTCCCCATCTTATAGCTCAACAATTACTGCTTAATATAGCATTTGTATGTTATTTCCATGTGATTCCTATGTATCTGAACAACTGAGATATTTTGAGGGAATTTAGAGTGAATTTTGTGTCATGAGTATATACACTGTTAAAATTTAATTGACTTGCTATGTAAAGAATATTTATTTTTTGTGTCTTAATTGAGGTCAATGTTTTAGAAAAAGATACAGTGATATTTACAAGTAAAACTACTTGGGTTTACAGAATCCTATCGATCAACTGGTTCTTGGCCAAACACCAATTTACTGCTGGGACGACTGGAAACAGGAAGAAAGATGACTTTATCAAGGATACCAGACTTTCATTCCCCAACCAAGATTAGAATCCTCGACAACCATTTGCTTGACATCATATAAAGAAACTCTAACTGTCTTTGACCACTTTTTGTTAGACTACAGTTCATCTTTTACTCTGGACATGTGTTTTGGCTACGAAGCACCTGTCACTCACAGATTGGCATCACATGTTTCAGAAGCCATCACTGTTTTTTTTGTTATTAATCTCTTGCCTTATTCTTGAAAACTTGAGTAAAAGTAAATTGAAAATCAATGTTAGTGATTGACCAATCAGATGACTGGAATACTAAAATCATCTTAATAAATTTTCTTGAGAATACGCCCCTTGATTTATACATGAAATATTTTCATGCTAAAATTTTAGAAACAGACGGCATGGACACCTGGTTTGGAGATTAAATACTGAGATGAAAAAGCCAGCCTTAGAGTGCTATCAGGTGTTCAAGGATTGATCAAAGACATGTGAAACTGGCATGCTGTAATATTATTCTCAAGCCAAAAAAAGTTGTTTGCTATATTGTCCAGGAAATGACTATATAATGCAAACGTTATTCATAACTACTAATAGATTATCAGAAAACAATGCCTTGATGATAAACCTTATACTAACTAAGGTTTCAGAGAACCTATCAACAGTCTAAAAGGAATGCCCTGATGATTAACCTAATAATAACTAAGGTTTCAGAGAACCTATCAACAGTCTATAAGTAATGCCCTGATGATAAACCTAATACTAACTAAGGTTTCAGAGAACCCATCAACAGTTTAAAAGGAATGCGCTGAGGATAAACCTAATACTAACTGAGGTTTCAGAGAACCTATCAACAGTCTAAAAGTAATGCCCTGATGATAAACCTAATAGTGAGTGAGGATTCAGAGAACCTATCAACAGTCTAAAAGTAATGCCCTGATGATAAACCTAATACTAACTGAGGTTTCAGAGAACCTATCTACTGTCTAAAAGTAATGCCCTGATGATAAACCTAATAATAACTAAGGTTTCAGAGAACCTATCAACTGTCTAAAAGTAATGCCCTGATGATAAACCTAATACTAACTGAGGTTTCAGAGAACCTATCAACAGTCTAAAAGGAATGCCCTGATGATAAACCTAATAGTGAGTGAGGTTTCAGAGAACCTATCAACAGTCTAAAAGGAATGCCCTGATGATAAACCTAATAATAACTAAGGTTTCAGAGAACCTATCTACTGTCTAAAAGGAATGCCCTGATGATAAACCTAATAATAACTAAGGTTTCAGAGAACCTATCAACTGTCTAAAAGGAATGCCCTGATGATAAACCTAATAATAACTAAGGTTTCAGAGAACCTATCAACAGTCTAAAAGGAATGCCCTGATGATAAACCTAATACTAACTAAGGTTTCAGAGAACCTATCAACTGTCTAAAAGGAATGCCCTGATGATAAACCTAATAGTGACTGTTTCAGAGAACCTATCAACTGTCTAAAAGGAATGCCTTGATGATAAACCTAATAGTTACTGAGGTTTCAGAGAACCTATCAACTGTCTAAAAGGAATGCCTTGATGATAAACCTAATAATAACTAAGGTTTCAGAGAACCTATCAACTGTCTAAAAGGAATGCCTTGATGATAAACCTAATAGTTACTGGGGTTTCAGAGAACCTAGCAACTGTCTAAAAGGATTACCTTGATGATAAACCTAATAGTGACTGTTTCAGAGAACCTATCAACTGTCTAAAAGGAATGCCTTGATGATAAACCTAATAGTTACTGGGGTTTCAGAGAACCTAGCAACTGTCTAAAAGGATTACCCTGATGATAAACCTAATAGTGACTGTTTCAGAGAACCTATCAACTGTCTAAAAGGATTGCCTTGATGATAAACCTAATAGTGACTGGGGTTTCAGAGAACCTATCCCACTGTTGTTCATAATTAAGATATTATCTAGAAAATGAAATAACCAGCTGTCTGTGGTTATTTAATCAGTGTAATTAAAACAAAAAATTATTTTTGATATAGCTACTGCTACTTCAATTAGTCTGATAAATAACATAATTTGTCATGGGTCAAAGCATTTCCTTAATGGGTTGCTTAAGAGAGAATTGTGGGATGGTTGGTGTATTGCTTAAGAAAAGATTTAATTTTTGCAAATCCTTTATTATAGGATAAATTATAAAGCATATCAATTGGATTATGGGAAAACGAGGAAAAATATGATGTTATTAAAATGGGCATTGTAAATATTGTGGATTGTAGATTTCATACCATAGGCCTACATTGTAACTATTGAATTAAGAAGAATATTCGTGACATAGGTATGTTTCTTCTGGTTTGTCATTTCGTATTTAATATCAACTCACTTGTTGACAATTTTAAGTAATTTTTTGACCCAAGTTCCTGAGACTAAAGTATGATTGGTCAAAAAGAGTGGTGCACCTATCCCTTTAAATGAAATGAAATGAATGGAGTTTTACGTCCTACTCTTCTGCAACCTATCCCGTTTAACCCTGATTTAACTATGTAAAGTTGCAGATGTATATTGTTAACTTTGTGGCAGATTGTTGATACGTGATCCTTAGTTTATTTCATCATTATCTTGTTTGTTTAAATAGTTATTCATTTAACACCATGTTTATATCATCTTTACAATGACAAGCTATTACAAACTTCATACTTATACCTTGACTGCCATAGCCACCTTTCTTGTATCAAGGAATGCAGTGATTTGATTGGATTGTAATCTAGGGAATACAGCCAGACATTTTGGCGTATTGTTTACAGAACTTCAGATTGGTTGTATTTGCTAGCGTACAATCCAATCAAATCACTGCATTTACATACTTCAATGATACAAGAAAGGTGCCTATTTTAGTCAAGGTATAAGGTTTAAGTCTTTATATATCAATATATGTCAAAAATTTAATTTACAATAGCAAATTTTAATACTTCAAGGTTTGACAAAATATTTATTGGAAAATTAGATTATTAAACTCTGTGCATTGATTTGTTAATATATTGGGTTTTTTAAAGTTATATTGTGTTCACTTTGAGAATTTTTTTACTGAATGTTTATTTCTTGGCAGGTTGCCCATATGTCAAACTTTACATTCGATAACATAACAAATCCAATATTTTGGCATGAGTTAACCTAGGTTTTATTTCAAGTTCAACTTGTTTTCAACAAGTTTAGAGAAATGTTGGAGAAAATTTAAGATGTCTGTGGTCTGGTCTAGCAAGTTTTTGACTTAAAGGGATGCAATCAGAGTTTAAATATTCTGTAAAGTCAGCAAATCTGAAATGAAGCTGTATAACAAAAACACAAGAGAATATATTATAGTATAAAGCTGAAAGAAAAGCCAGTCGGAAAATCCATGGACAAAATCGTGTGAAGAAACAAAGTGGTAAAAAACAACGCCAAGTGTCAACAACTTTTTTAGTGATTAGGGTGATTGAAAAGTAACAAGTTACTATTCATAATTAGTAACAAAGTATATTATGTTTTGTTTACACAATATATACGTGTAATCATCAGATATATATTTCCCTGTGTTTTTTGTTATATGTGTTCTCGGCTTCTAAACATCGTTTTGTCTTCATTAGCCCACAAGGTGCAGGAAAGTAGGACTTAAAACTCCATTCATTTCATTTCATTTTTAAATGTCGTTCAAATCTTATTTCTATCAGCTGATAAAGTAAAATATTAGTTGACTATATATCCTTTTTGACACTAAAAAAGAAAAAAAAGTTCTTTACATACTGTCCAGTACTGTGACCTTTTTCAAGATTAGTAAGAATAAGGTGTAGCTCAGAGAGCTGGTCAGGGTTGGAACTTAAGTCAACTTTTAATTCTAAGTAATGGTACAGATAGCTTTAATTAAAACTGTGTTGGGTTATTAAGCAAAAATTCCTCGAATTTGACCCATTAAAACATCTAGCTTTTTCACCTATGCTTTGCTTTGCAATGATAGATGAATTTTTAACAGATGTCAGTTTGCTTGAAATGACCCTTGCCTTTGATTAATACTATTGACAGATGTCAGTTTGCTAGAAAGTAAAAACTTGCTGACCCTTGTCCAGCATCTGATGGCTTATATGGCCAGATGTTTTTAGGTTGACAGCTCAAAAAATTCCTACTGTGTTTTAAAGTGTTTATAGGTTTTAGAAACCAGTTAAAAAGTTCTTAGTTTTTAAGACTCTAACAGGACACCATCTGTCACTACTGATTAAACAGGAGTCAGCTGTGTTGGTTGGAGGGTAGATAAAGCTGGTCTATTTTTTCAATCAGTTCTGTTAATGAACAGGATAATTAAACTTGTTTTTCCATCAGTATTCTAATTTCATTTCATAATCACAAAAATTGGAAGTGGGAATCTGTCTTAATTTAGTATGAAGAGTTGGATCTAAATCAGGGGTTTCAAACTTTTTCTTTTCAATCCTTTCCCCAATAAATCCTTATTATTTCCTGATATTCTTTAAGACATAGCCTGACTGAATAGAACGACTTCAATTATAATTGTCCACAACTTTCATACATGAATACAAAGCACATTATTCAGGCCTGTAACCAGATCAATGTGCCAAGGGGTGTGGCCGCATTTGCATGGGGGGCAATAGCTGATAGAGTCTGATTTCAGTTTCAATTGAGAATTTATTCGAATTTTACAGGGAGGGTGGGGGTGAATATATTTCCAGGGGGAGCGCCCTAGTTACGGGCCTGGCCTCATTACCCCCTAAAAGTTATTAAAAATATTCCCTTGGTCGTAATAACTCTCAGGTTGAAAACCTGTGATCTAAAGCTAATTATAAAATATTTGACATTCTTAAAACTTGACTAAACTTTACTAACATTAATGAAAAATCTCGGCTTCAATTCTTGAACGAAAGTCTTGCTTAATTCTGTACTGTAGGCTATATATTCATCAAAATATGTTACGGCACGCTGCTTTCGTTTTCTTAATGAGTGATTTATTTTGATTGACTGAAATTTGCTACCAATACAGTAGGGCAATTTTGATTGGACAATATTTATCTATGTGTTACCAGCGCTCCGAGTAAATGATGGAAACTATTATGCACTCTCCATTCCCCATATTAATTGTCTATCTATTGAAGGGTTACAGTCGTTGAAATATTCAATCAACCAGATGATGAGTTAATTTCATTTCTTAAAACCATTAAACCTTTTGTAGACTTAATAAATGTAAATAATACTATAGCTATCATTTATCATATTTCAGAATAAAGAAAAATGAAAAAAAAAAGATTTTATGTTAAGACCAACTGCAATGTTTATAATAATGGATTTGTTTTCTTGCTGTAGTGATATTGATATGATGTAGACTCTAAAAAGAAAAAAAAAGAAGCACTTATAAAATATATTGCCAGTGTATTTATTGAGCAGGTGTTTACGAGACAATCCAATATAAAATATAATCTGAAAGTTTTTATTATCGAACACCTGGCCTCTGGGCCACAAAATATTTCCCATAATCAGCTAAGTTCTGATTCCAATTCATAGTTCCCTCTATCAATGGTAAAATTTGAAGATTAATGTGATAATGCCAGAAACATTGTGACAAAATAGATACAGTCAAGTAACCTTATTTCGTGGAAACCTATTATTCGTGGATTTCAGGAAAGGATTAATAATTTACATGTGTGACCTGGCGCGACCTCTGAATTAGTTTGTTTTGATAAACATGGGTTGTCTCTACAATATCAGCTAGTAGAATGAATCCAGTAGTTTCAAGCAAGGTAAAATGTATTGATGTATACTTTGACAAATACAAAATGGCAGATTTCAGTTATTACCAAACGTCACCATTTTTTATCGACTGAATTTCCTTATAATCCCAAGCGGTAATCGGAATTCCAAGTGTCGTCTGCTAGAATGTAGTCCAACGAATGAAGTCACGCGATCAACTAGCGGATTCCGTGTCGGCAGAAAATTTCTATGGAACACAAAGTGGACCATATTCTTATGTTGTTTCAGTGACTTTTAGCAATAAATCACGCTACATATCTTATTTTGTCAGTCACAATTTTTTTTTAAAATCGCGGTTCTTTGAAGGAATTGTCACTAGTTATAATGAATTGATATTAAAGATAAATACTAAGAGAAGTTAATTATACCACCCGGTATCCATACATGTTTTTCTAGACTTATTTACAGATCAAACATTGTACACGAAAAAAGGTGACGCATTTTGCCGCCGTTGTCGAGTTGGTTACTCATGAAATATGGGTCAAAGTGAAGGATTCATAAAGAAAATCGAAATAAACCAATTTTAATTATTTTGTAGAATATCTGAGGAAACATCTAAGACATAAAAAAAAAATTTGTTTTTAACTTTGACGAAATTCGGTGTTGAATCCTTATATCCACGATAATAGGTTACACCACTGTATAGATATATTGATATATTTTATCTTTGATACAATCAGTTAAACACCTGTAATTATAGCAGCTTCAAATTTGAGAAAAATGAATGAAAAAAAGTTTGCAACTCTGGGGCCTTTCTTTGTTTCTTGCTTTTATGTTTATAGTGAATTGAACTGGTGTTTAGGCTATTGTTTAAGGTTAAGGAGCACCTGTCCCTGTCTCTGTCCCATTGGATACTGTATTTGTGAAAGTGACTTCATAATCTGGTCAACTATCAAGGATTTTTTTTATTTGAATTTGTTTTTGGGCACTTGTAAAGGGGTCAGAGGTTAGGGAAGCAGATGTCCTGTAACAGTCTTTCTCAGGTCAAGTTTTATTAGATTTTATCAGAAGTTCTGGTAGAAAACAGTAATGTAAGTTTTCAATTAATTTCAATGTTTTTCATGAACAGATTTGTTTTGTATATCTAATATGAGGTGGGGTGGTGTCAAATGTGTTTTTTGAATATTAAAATGGTTGTTCAATAAAGAATTTTCAACTAAGGTTTATTATTACTAATCTAAGTCTTTGCTAATTGTTTTTCTAGACTTATTTATAGATCAAACATTGTACACGAAATTAGGTGACGCATTCTGCCGCCGTTGTCGAGTTGGTTACTCATGAAATATGGGTCAAAGTGAAGGATTCATAAAGAAAATCGAAATAAACCAATTTTAATTATTTTGTAGAATATCTGAGGAAACATCTAAGACATAAAAAAAAATTTGTTTTTAACTTTGACGAAATTCGGTATTGAATCCTTATATGCACGATAATAGGTTACACCACTGTATAGATATATTGATATATTTTATCTTTGATACAATCAGTTAAACACCTGTAATTATAGCAGGTTTCTTCAACCATCAATGAGTTTTTATAATGAGAAATTTTTCAAGTCTATCAGACCACTTTTTTCTCATGAAAAAATAAAACAAAGTGATAAAAAGTTTTCTAAGAAAGTTGATGTGTTGAAGTTGATGATTTCTTGTTGTAAGTATGGTTTGTTAAAGGTAAATTCTACCTAATTCTTCAAACATGATATATGGACGTCATATAGTCTTGTTTGGTGCCAGATATTTAAGGTCATTTAGCAGCAAATACAGGTAGGTGTTGCCAAATTTGTCATTGTCAGGCTAGGTCGGCATATGTTACATTGACTGGTAAAATTACCCTTTTTTCTTATTATACAAATTATTGTTTTTGTGTCAAAATGTTACTCAGTTCTGCTTTTCTAACATTTTGCTGTAACTAACTAGTTGCTGCTATGTTGGCGTATATTATATTGACAGGTATTTCTATTCCAATCTAACTTGTCTTGATGCATTTGATTAGTTAGTTTGAATTTTAAGTTTTAAATTAATGTTGTGTCTGATTTGGATGTCAGTTGACTATGTAACTGTTTGACAAATATTGACTAAGACTTTGCCAAATTCTATTGAGAATTCGAAGGTCAAAAGGGTTCAAGTAAATGCTTTCATTCTATAAATAATGTAACTAATACAGGAAAGCTATGGATTGTTTGTTTGGTAAACTTTGAACTGGATACATTACGAGCCTCAGATAGACAGTTTTATTTGTAGTTCTGAAACCAGATTGCAATAAAATGTAGGTTACAGTGGCGTAATAAGGATGCTGTCATAAAAAAATGTAAAATTTTCTAACATCCCACTGCGACTAGTGCCCTCTATATTCAGGGGACACCCGGACACTCACAAAGCCAGTATATTATTATGTCAAATTGGCTATTCATTCATATGATGTCGCCATCTTATCAATGGATGACGTAATTTGTGTTGTGAACCTCGCTTTTTCGCTTAACGAGAATTATACCAAAGTCCCATACTAGTGACACTACAAACTATTCATAGCAGCCAATGTCAATCGATGTACACAAATATCTTTGCTCAAGTTCGTTAAAATTTTGGGTTGTATCTAAGTATACATTTCAAACAATTTTTGGTCTCTTTTCAGTAAACTGCACCCATGATGCCAGTTGTGATGAAGCCTGAACCGCAAGACCAAACTGTTCCACCACACCCGGTTCAACCCCCTGCCGTCATGCCGACATCTTCTGCAGCTGTACCCATATCAGCACCTCTACCAGTTACAACCAACACCATTACCCAACAATCAATCGTTGAAAACCTGGAGAAACTTCCAGAAGATATGGAAAACAGGATTGATGTTGAAAGTATTAAAGGCGTGTTTGGTTGGGCCACAGTTGATGGAGTCAATGTGCCCTATATCATTCGTAAATATAAAAAATTTGTGTCCGTTAGAATCGTGGAAAAGAAACTGTTAAGTCGTTATCCGAATGCTTTCCCAGACGAACTCGCGAAGAAAGATCCATTAGTGAGTTTTTTTGTGACAGAATACGAAGCCAAATTATTGGACGAAATTAATACAATACATTGTAGTTACGAATACGGTACGCAACCTTTCTCAACCAAAGAACTTATCGTGGACTTGGTGGAATTCGAGGATTTTTATAATTTAGTGAAAAAAACTTTCCCGGAAGATGTTCTGGCTAAAATGAGATCCACTGAACAACCAGCGGAATCTACGACCCCTGAAAATTCCATCAATCGAGAAAATCTTGAGAAAATGTGTGCTTGGATTCAAATTAACAATACTGTGACCCCAGTCATCAGGAGAAATGAATTCACCTTCGTTCCTCTCTCAGTTATCAAATATGCTGCAGGACTTATGAAAAATGTGAATTTAGAAGGAATTCAGCCTTCGACTGACGATTGTGCTCTGTTAAATGAAACGTGTAAAATTGCTGGATTCGATTTCCAGTTCGGTCCAAAGACTAAATTGATAGAACTTACTGAAATAGTGAGACATTGTCAACCAACAATCTTACAACTTCCGTTTGATGATCCACTGAAACATGCCCGTTATCTGGACACCCCCTCTCCATCAGGGCAGCCACCAGCGTCTCCGACCACCACCCCACATTCTTCCCCACCTACTTCCATGCCAAATACTCAGGTGCCATCCCAAGGTCACCAGTATCCATACCAACGACCAAACGTACCAGTGAATCCTTTCGCCATGATGCAAATGATGTCCAGATCTCTCGTTCCCCAGCAGTTGGCTTACTCACAGCCTGGTTTGATGCCCAACGCCATGGCAAATCCAGCAATGGTCCAGAGATTGTACAATCAACAACCCAGACCATCTTCAGCAGGCAAACCAAGTCATCCATTACAGATGCAACAGCAAATGAATGCTGGGAAAACTCCTCCATATCCCCCTGGTTATAATCCAAATCTTCCACCAAACCATCCTGCAAATTTAGCTCAAGCACGAGTCAACTTCCCACAAGATCAGGTGCAAGTTCAGAAAGGTATTGCCCAACATCCCAGCAGACACAACATGCCTCCAGACGTATTTCCACCAAACCAGTCTTACCCAGGACACAACCCAAGGTCACTTCCTCCCACCCCTCCCTACCAATCTCCCATGCCGTCTGGTAGAGGAGGAATAACAAGTAACGCTGGAAACATAGGACCTCATTCTTCCACCACAGCTTCTTCTGGAATTTTCTCTTCCAGACAATCAAAACCAAGTGCTTCACCGAACAATCAAAATAGTGCTTCTCAAAAAACGGGCAATAATCATCTGAAAATCGAAGGAGTGGTGATCAATGGAAAGAGCATATCATGTTTGAATGTATACCGTGGAGCAATCCAGGGTAAATTCTGTCTTGTGGAAGCCGTGTGTAAGTTATACTTCAGTCAAGTCAATATTCAGGAGTTTTTATTTGTGCTACAAAACGTGTTTAAGGTCCGTCTTCATACGTGTATGGATGACGAAGAAAAGGCATTCATACAGTACTATAACCTTCCTGTGAACATGTTAAAGTGTAACAAGATGGTGCATCTGAAAGATTTGGAAGGTTTGATTCCGCGTATGACCTATATAATCAATCAGAGATACGCAGAAAACCAGAACAAAAAAGAATTAGATGAACAAAAATCAAACGAGAAGGACTTGAATAGTGCTAATGGACAATTTAAGGGAGTTAACTCACGTAAAAGATTATCATCGGGACAAGGAGGTCCTGAGAAAAAGCAATCGAGTAACTTGGAACAAATTATGCAGAGATTGTCTCAAAAGAATCAGTCTGCTGATGATTCAAGCAGTCGGTCACCATCAGGTACGTCTTAATCAAGTTGGAAAGCATGGATGAACGGGCATCATTTTTGTTTGCTGATACTGGAATTTTGGAACATCCATTAGTCTTTAGTATTAGTATGATTCATTGTGACAAGTTTATGGTCTAATTTTATAACAGAAATGGCATGGTGTGTTGCAACTTCTACCTGACCCTCTTGTGTTTTTTTGCTTTGTTTTGGCTTTTTGGAAAATAGCCATAGTTGTGATTGATTTGCCTCATGTGTGGTCTACATTTGTATTGAAGCTAATGACGAAGCTAATTGGCAAAACATCTTTAATTTGATAATTCTATACCTACACTGATGATATTTTAGTCAAATTGTCAAAGCATCTAGTATAAGGTTTTGTTATTTATTTATGTCTGTTTCTACCTTGATCAACAATGATATACAATGTTTAGTTAGTTTTCTATGTCTTAGTTTAGTTTTATCTAATCTTACTGACCTCTAACATAGCTGTTCTTCAGAGTCTCTTCAGAATCTTCAACCAAGCTCATGTCTTACTGATTACTCAAACTATCTGGTTTAAATACAGTTATTAAAAAACATGTTAACAAAAATCAAGATTTGTATTTTAATCAAATTGAGACTTAAATGATACCATTTTAAGGTCAGAAATTTTAAAACAGAACCTGAAACATGTTGTCTTCAGACTGACCTATCATTCTACTCTCAAGGCTATTCAAACTTGGTTAAATAACTTGTTTGACATCAATCATATCAAGATAAGAGCTTGGGGATCTAGGTTTAATATTTTTCTTTATTATACTTGGTTATTATTCAACACAATATTTATACAAGCTGTTGTTTCATCCAGTAATTTCTTAGATTTATGATCATAGTTGATTCCGAAGGATAATCTTAAGTTATATTAACAACCCTTTATCAGCCTTTCTTTAATAATATCATAATTAATCCAAATATTATAAATTAATGATTTATAAATTGTATATTTACATAGATAAATAATTGTTTGAGAAACAGACCAAATCTTATGTTAAACCTAATTATTTATATATTTAAATGTTCTGGCAAAGAAATTGTTGAAGCATGAACCCTCAGACTTCATTTTAAAACTTTTTATTTTAATTTCTTAGTATTTTTTTTTTACGAGTGTCAGATTTCAATCTTTAACAAGAAATTTTAAAAATGAATACAAAAATCATTTTTTGATATGATTAAAAAGATTTTAGCAATTTTTCTCTTCAAAGTGTTGTGAAGTTGAGAATCATGTGGACTCTCTGAAAGAGATTCTGAGTTGACAAACGGAACTAACAAAAAAACAAAAATATGTATGTAGACTCTCTAAAGGGAGCCATCGTCTCTTGGTTTGATGAGAGAAATCAAATGGCACTTGTAGAAAAACCTACATAGAAACTTGCTAACACTAATATAGCTTCAGTAACATCTTAATCAGTGTTTCTGAACAGGAGAGGAATAGATTTGAAAGAATTCTTCCACGGAGGAATGATCTCACTGAGGTTCAGAAGTACTGATCTAAATTACTTTTGTGTTGTTTGAAACTGTCAAATGTATCTATGTTCATTAGTTCAATAACATACAGAATAATGGGAAAGATCGACTATAATTTTTGTCAGTTCATTAGTCTAGTAAGATCCTGGGCCCTTGTTTCTCAAAATATCTGAGATTAGCTAGAGCGTAAAAGTTATGATTTAATGATTTGATATCGTCAAAAATAGCGTTTTTCTTTACCTAACGAGCAAGTTTAGTCGTACGAATTTTTGAGAAGCAGGGTTGAGGTCTTTAATTTATTTCATTACCTAATAAGACATCGTCTTTAATTTATTTTCTGGACAAATAAGAACAACTTTATATCTTTTGTTGAGTTTAGACTATTGAACTCTGGCTTTAATAATCCAATCTAGAACTTACTTATATTTCTAACTATTTGTGAAAGCCTAACACCTAACAGTATCAGAAAGACACAGCCTCAATAAGGTGCTGAACAGTAGGATATATAACTCTCTTATATCGTTTAGTCTAACTCTCTGTGTAAGCCTAACATTCTCACTATTTCTAATATCAATTTGAACAATGTCACCATATATTTTACAGTACCCAAAACAACAGAATCCATGAAAATCCCAAGTGGAGTGATAGTATTGGATGATTGAAGATAAAACCAACCAATGAAAACAAGGAACACTGATTTAACTCATTATAATATTGAATATTCATGAGCATTGTGGACTCTTTGAAAATGAGGCATTAGAAACGTGCATTTTGTGTAATTAATATACCAAATATATTGTGGACTCTCTGAAAGAGATGCTGCATTGACAAATCAAGATAAGCTTGGAAAGAAGAAACTGAGAAACTAGAAAGAAGATCCTAAAGTAAGAAAGCCGAAAGTTGATTAGCATCTTAGAAACAAACAATGGGGCTTCTCTGGAAAGTAGAAAGTAGAAAGTCTACCTTGTATATCAGGAACAGAAATGTTATTATATATCTCTCAGATAAAAAGAGATGAACTAGATAAATCAACAAACAGCAATCTTAGGAAATGAAACAGGACTGCAATGATCTTTAAATTACATATATCAGGGAAGATCTGTATGAAGAATTTATAAGTTGAAATGAGTGAAGCCTGATATTTAACATTATTTAGTAAAGATATTGCTGAATATATTGGAGGCATTAAGTATATACAGTATATGCCCGTTTTGAGGATTTACTTAAATTTAGCTAGGTCATTTCTGAATATATATAACTAGGCATTTTAATTTTATACAATACAATACTGTATTTGAATGATATTTTTTTTTAATGTTTAGGCATTTGAAGTATATTAGAGTGACATTATCTATTTTGTCTTAAGACTAGAGATTGGGCCCAGCATCGTGGTGCCTGTGATCAAGCACAAAAGTAGTAGATAATAGTCCATTTCAGTTTATTTGACTATCAACCTACAGAACAGTTTTATCTTCTACTGTTCTGTCCCGTCTTCATTAGCCCACATGGTGGACGTAAAACTCCATTCATTTCATTTACTGTTCTATCATGTTCCTTTAGCAACAGTAGATATTATCCATATTCTACCGTTGCTTTTCCCTTGGCAGACCATACGTCACCATTCGATTTATCCAATCAGTAATCTCGTAACATTTGGTGTAAAAGATGGTAGACAATATCTATTCAACTGTTACTAAAGGAACATGTTGTTCTGTAGGATGTTAAACTTCACTATATAATAGGATATTAGAAGCATTTATTTTTATGTACATAATTTACTTTCACCATCTATCAAAACACCCAAGGCCAGTTAAATGTTTAATACTCATTTTGCAATGTAACCAAAGCAATCCCATTTCTTATGAACAAGTTATTTTGTATATTTTTCAGTTAAGAATCGATAATCTCTAGATTACAATCTAGGGAGATTTATTGGTTTGCTATAGTCTATCAACTTTGTAAATTATTTGTGTCAAGAAACGATGAACTTTGGATTTCAGACTAGAATGCGGTTCGTTGTCTGTTTATGTACTTTGTTTGAAAGATATGTTGCTGTATTTTTCTAATGTGTTTTCGCCAGCGATCTTTGGCATTGTTTGAATTTTTTATTGTTTAAAGATGAAGATTGTGTATAGTCTCAATCTAAAGGTTCCCTCACACCAAACCCATCACCACTTGCGTTTTGTTGCGAATAATGAAATAGGTCTGAGTTTCGGACGCATTTCGCAATACAGTAACCTAAAAGTTGCGTTCGAAACGTATGACCGCTATTCTTATTGATCGTTATGGCGTAACGGCCACTTTACTGTGGTTTAAGAGAAAGTGCTGAGTTAAACTGAAAAGATAGTCGGAGTTGGTGGAGATCCAGTTAAATCAATTAATGCTTGAACAGAAGCTGAACTGATTGTAATATTAATATAAAAACATCAGAGAAGATATAAATGTGAAATTGCTGGAACAGATCACCAACGTTAAATTGAATGTTATACAACATTTATACAGAGCGATACACCATGAAGAAAGAAGTTGCTGAAGAAGAAGCCATACTGTATTGTTTCTTTCTCAAATGCTTCTCAAAATATCAACAGGAAAAAACGTGTTCTACATCTTCTGAAAGAGCCTCACACCAGAGCAATCACCAGTCGCATATGGTTGCAAATAGGAAACACGGTCATAAGTTCGAACGCAACTCTCATACAACGGAGTTGTAAGTTGCGTTCTGAACTCAAGGCCACTTACATTATTTCACCATACACAACTGGTAATCGCTGGTAAGGTGATATGAATTTAAATAACACATTTGTGAAGCGCAAAATATTGGCAAAGTAAAAATGAAATGCAGCAACCCGATGAGAATCTGAATATTTAATAGTGAAATTCAGCTTGTATATAAACTGTAGATTTTGTATTTATGTATATTATTGAAGCACTTGTTAGATCCTTACACAATTTAATTTGGTCACAATAAAAACGACTACCAAATGTACAAGTGATCATGTATTTTGTTTTCTTGACAGCTTCTGTGTTGAAGATTCTTTGTATGATGGACTACTGTTTGTAAGAGGGGGCTTCAACCTGTTTCTTTCTATTACCTCTTTCAGGATCTTTGATCGATGTCGTTATTCCTTTCCCCTATAAATACTATTTGCGATTTTCTCCCAGGTTTCCTGGAATCCTTTTCATGTTAGAGAATATAGCCTGACAGAATAGAACGACTTAAATTATAATTGTCAAACATTTAATTCTAGACTAAATAAGCAATCATTACTCACCAAAATTTTCAAAATTACCCCAAGGTTGAAAACCCCTGGTTTATAAGAACTGTCAAATATTGCAATCACGCACTTCTGAAACCATGATTCCATTTTCTATCCTAAAAACTGCAGGATAAACGATCTACAGACTATTAAGGTGCTACCAAGAGCATACATGTTTTGTGTGTTTGCCCAATAATCTGTAAAATAATATTGAAACGATTAAGATTAACAGATTTTTGTTTGTTTGAATGTGTTTATGCTACATAGTTAAACTTGCCCCAAAGGGTATTAACAAGAGTTTTATCGATAACACTGAATTAGAAATTGATGCATTCAACTTCAGAGTATTCATGACTTTGTAATTTAAACAAAGGGAAATTGATTACTCTTATGTTCACTTTCTTTACAATTCTGATTGAAACATTCTACTTCTTTTCCTTTTTCCCATTTTTATCATTTTTGTACGACTGCAATTTAATAAACATTGTAAGTGAGTCGTTCACAGAATCAAACTTTCTTCTCTTCGACCAGGATGCTCTTGACCTCAATAAGAATTTTAGACAATTTCTATCCAATTGAGCTTAATTTGCCTATTTTAGGATCTTCTCAGTGGGTCAAGCCAGTTCACCCTAGTCGTTAGTGTTTCTGAAATATATGTATCATCTCTGAAGAAGCTATTGAGCTGAAAGCATGCCAAGATAATGTATTATAAATATGGATTAAATAACAACTTGTTCTCTCGAAATGGATTAAAATTGTTCCATTTTACCAAGAATTGAAGACAACCTATACATATATATATATATATATATACATTGTTTAAAAATTGTTGAGATTGAGTTTTTGTAGCTTTAAGAAAAATGGAAATTGTTTTGTTTCGTTGACATTTTCATTTGTAACTAAAAAACGAACAATAAATAAACCTATAAATTTAGTAAAAGTAAACGCCTTTTTTTGTTTAATGTCTGAACCGGGGAACATGAAGATGTTTTTATAGGGTGCAGAGCTTCAAGTTGTTTTACTCACTGAAACGAAGTGAATAATGGAGGTCACTTTCAATTAACAAATTATTCAATAATTATTCAACATTTCAAGCAACCGTAACCTTGTGTTATAACGGTAGCCAACAAAAAAATAAATAAAAATTTCTATATAAATATGTCCTGAAACAAAACATTTTAGATGATGTATAAATACAATATATACAATAAATTAGATATCAATTGCCAAAAGCCTGCGAACGAATCAGAGCTTGTCAAATACTGAAGTGAGATCAAACAATTTATTTTCAAATTTTGGATAGCTGTAGATTTAATTAAATCAACCAATCTGCAAACCAACGGTCACTTCTTATCATGATATAAAACCACACATTCAGAGACACATTATTCAGACGAAAAAGAAAATGAGATCGTAATCCAATTTTAATTAGAAAAAAGCATTGGCTAAGCAGTTTTGGGATGAATACAGCTGGGATACTCTATGACTATGGGGTTCGTTGCCCAAAGTTAAGTAAAAGTAATTTCAATTACATAAAGTCTATACAAACGCATTGGCTAACCTTTTTGGGGATCAATACAGCTGGCATATTCTATGCAGTGGCATATTTAGGGGTAGATCAATACATCTGTCCCCTCTCCCGCCCCTCATAGCCATTTGGACAGATGTCGGCTCTTGTAGAGACAGAAAAAGTAAGCTCTGTTAAATGGGGACATTTCGCAGAGGTTTTAAACCTCGGATCTGCAAAACCCAGATATATTTGGAAAGATGAATATTTTTGTAGTTCAATCATACCATCATTTTCTCCCTACACCATTCTTTTATGTCATGTCACCGGTTCCATTTTTTTTAACGAAACCGATCTAGCATCGGCCATTTAAAACTGCGTGCGCAGCCAAAAATTCGAAATAAAGAAAGATGGAAACAACTAGACTAGGTTTTACAAGGATAGCTTTGGTTCACAATATAAGACCTCTTGACATTGATCTTTCCGGGATTATCTGTATCCAGTTACATCTGGGTGGACTGGAAGGTGAAATTCCCAGTTTGAGGGATACTGGAAGGGATTATACGATGTTTGTACATTTCTAGTACTTCTGGAGACTTTTTACATATATTCAAGACTCAAATCAACTCCCCAAAATGGCGAACAGTGGTCTTTAAACATTCCTTTCAGGTAAATAATACAATGTATCATTAATTTGGTATTATGATTAGTGAAACCAACATGTGTTACGGAATGTCATCATAACCAAAAGGATCATTTACCATGACATCGAACAAGGGCGTTCTGGCAAAGTAAGCAAGTTCTTCAGCAAACAATATCAATTATTGTGGTGGATTCAACCATGAATATCCTAATTATATATGCCCTTTTTGTTCAATATTACACAAACGTGACATAGATGAAGGTCAAGGTGGCCTTTTATGAAACGTGTTTAAATAAGAGTATTAGGCCTCTATATATCGTACAGTGCTGAAAAGAAGAACAGTCAAAATCGCTCAAGAGAATAGAAAAAAATAAAGCAATAAGTGTCGAATAACTATATGAAACAGTCGTAGGCCTATAGTGTTAAAATGAACAACGTCACTGAATACACGACCAAGAATATGACGTCAAAAAGATTCCAACGCTAACCAACTGAGCTACAGACATCTATAATATAATTATATTATTATGCTTATGAATTGAATGCCATTGTGTTTTATTCGATATAATCATACTAACATCATCTATTATTTCTAACGTGGATTGTATATCTGATGTGTTCTAGATATCGGAGATATTGTTTGTGTATAACACATGAGTGGGACTTTTAAATTCAGTTGTTAATGTACATGTCTCTTTCAAATGCCTATAACACGGTGAAATACCGTTTTATTGAGTCTTGCAAAATACTACAAGCGGAAATATCTGGGCTAATTGCACGATAGCGCTATTTCGACTTAGCGAAAACTAAAAAGCGTAGGCGACGCGAGCTAACACTACAAAGTTAGGGCTAGGTCAAATACCAATATCCAAATAACAATCCAGACTTCAATTTTAACAGTGCTGCTCGACTAAATATTTCTTTTGACAACACGAAAAGTCAGAAAAGCGCACGCATGAGCTAAAACTACCAAACTATGCGGAGATAATTTGACTAATAACCCAATTACGAGTATTCAAAATAAAAAATGTATACAATTCTAAAAGTTCCCCATAGCTCTTAAAGGAATACTATCTCTTAGAATGGACATAACATTTCAAGTCTCAAACTTTATTCATCAGTTGGACTTACCAGGTGTCATAACTAAAGAATAGAATCTCTATATAACACAATATATCTATTAAACTAAATAATTATTGAAAAACACTTCTAAGCATGTTTTGAAATGACTTAGTTTATTTAATGAATTATTACTATGTTTTATGGATTTATTGATCACCCTAAGAGGTGGTCTACCTTTAAATCGACCTAGGAAAAATCTAGAAGCGTACGTGTCAACTGAACTACAAAACTAAGGGCGTTGATATTTATAGGCCAAAATTCTTTAAGAGAGCTCAATTAAATATTTCTTGCAGAGTAGTGAAAAAACCACGAGAATTGGTTGAAGACCTGCCATGTCTGTTTTCTCACGTTTTTTGATCTGTATAAGCTGATATTAACGCACTAAAATTTTTCTCATGTTCACAATTTATCTTTTATCGTGAACACAAATGGAAAATTTAAAGATACCAGCATAGATTTTTTATTCTTTATATGGTGCTTTGTACTATTATATAGTCTACGCGATAAATGATCACTCTTCCATCGCATCAGTTGCCATTTTGTCTTTGAGTTTGTCGACAGAGAGTCCACACCTAATACTGTAGTATTTATATATAGGTCTATAATTCGGTATTCCTTTCTGAGATTCCATATATATAGCTAATAATACATATATTTATTGTTATTAAGGTTATTAGTATCTTATTCAGAGTAGTCTCTAACTTTTAGTCCCACTTTATCGACGCAAGTCTGGGTGTCAGAGACTACCTAAAAGCGGTCACATTGCGAAAAACAAAAAAACACATATTTTTTCACACTTGCAAATTAAATGCTGAGGTGTAATGATATCAGAATATGTGGTTAATAACACTGGTTCAACTTTATTTATATCAACACGTGTAGATCAACACTAGACGTATTAAACTAAGCACATTAATGTCGAAATGATCGCATTTACAGAGCTGTAGGTCTCGACAAGTGACAATATTTGACTTGCTTGATAAAATTTCTATAGTAGTTTATATCGCTGTTGATCTGTGTACAGATCTATTTATTAAACACCACTGTCAAACGATTGAAAATAATAGAAAATGTATCCTTCAGGTCTCGCCAAGGCTTGTTTAAGTTAAGATTTAGGCTCGTTCAATAAATAATCTAACCTCTAACATTCCAACCGTCTCATATATCATCTCGTCTGGTCGTTTGACCTAGTTTTATACCAGTTTGTGATTTCAGTCGAATATGTAATATACCCGCCAATTTAATTTCTTGGTAGAAATTTACATAACGACTTCAAAATAAGTCTCATTTAAAGTCAAGAGTCAATTATAACGTGAAATATTCCCGTGTGGTCGTCTCTTTAACTCTCTCAGACGTAAAGTAAAGCTCTTGGCATTTTCCCAGTCTGTTATCGCCATACGAAAATCATTATTTCAACTTGGCTGGCTGCCAAAACCTCAAAATAACTTCCACACGACAAAATTATACTTGATTTCCCCGGCTTATTTAGTGCTTCAACCTCGATTCTTTTCAATTGCAGAGATTTTATATTTACATATTTTGCTATCAACAGAAATGAAAGTGTGATATCCTTCCTTGTTGCCCGAGATGGGACCATTGGAAAACGGGAAATACCATGCAGGGTGCAATGTGGATTGTCACCCTCAATTGTCAATCCCAATCTGACACATATATGGAGAAAAAACGTATAAAAATCATATTTTTTAAATTTGTCAAAAATGAAGTGGGGTTGCAAACAATTTTGGAGGAAAGTTGCTGGTATTGAGCAATTACACTAAGTAAACATGGGTGTGACATACCACACCTACAATTCAAAAAGAAAGCAGAAATCGGTTTAAAGGGAATTGTCCACCGTTTTGGCTATTTCGTGTGTTTTTTTTCTACAGGTGGCTCAAAAAGGTGACATACACCCACCGGCAGCTTTGATTGCAAGTGCAAATCATTGTGTGTAGAATGTAGAGTGAGAAGAAGTCAGGTATGAACGGACGTACCGACAGGATGATTACAATATACACCTAAATTATTTATGTGAGCGTATGAACATTTTTAAGCTTTTTAATCAGATTGATAATAATTCAAGCACTCAGCCTTCTACTTCCATTCAAATTATTTATAGACCATTTCATTTCATTAGTCCAATAAGATACAGAACAGTAGGATATAAAACTCTATTTCATTTCATTAGTCCGATAATGTACAGAACAGTAGGATATAAAACTCCATTTCATTTCATTAGTCCAATAAGATACAGAACAGTAGGATATAAAACTCCATTAATTTCATTAGTCCAATAAGATACAGAACAGTAGGATATAAAACTCTATTTCATTTCATTAGTCCAATAAGATACAGTAGGTCATAAAACTCTATTTCATTTCATTAGTCCGATAATGTACAGAACAGTAGGATATAAAACTCCATTTCATTTCATTAGTCCAATAAGATACAGTAGGTCATAAAACTCTATTTCATTTCATTAGTCCAATAAGATACAGAACAGTAGGATATAAAACTCCATTTCATTTCATTAGTCCAATAAGATACAGTAGGTCATAAAACTCTATTTCATTTCATTAGTCCAATAAGATACAGAACAGTAGGATATAAAACTCTATTTCATTTCATTAGTCCAATAAGATACAGAACAGTAGGATATAAAACTCCATTAATTTCATTAGTTCAATAAGGTACAGAACAGTAGGATATAAAACTCTATTTCATTTCATTAGTCCAATCAAAAGCCCAAGTACTAACGATCCGAACCGCAAAACGAAACCTGAAATCCAAATAACATATTGGAAATAAATTGGTAGCAGCTAATGAACTTTTCACATGAAGAAATTTATCAATTATAAATGTGTAAATAGGTCACAGTGAAAAATGGTATCAGGTGTCTAGAAGAGTAAGCATACCCTGCCTGGCACCAAATCCGCCATTGCTGCAAATAAGATACAGGATAGTGGGGTTTCAAATCTCAAACCAATTTTAAAATAAGTGAACACCAGTTTGTACAATAAAAATAAATTGTTTTTAATGTTAAAATACAAAACTTGTTGTGAATTTGTGAAAAATAAAAACAATATATGATTCACTTCAGGAAAACAGTCATTTGTTTGTTTTTAACGAGAAAAGAACAAAAGCTACAAGAAGGAAATGAATAAATTTTTAAGAATGCTTTCCACTTCAAACAATTTAAAAAAAAAATGATAAAAAAAACTGACACTTTGTCATTGTGCTTCCGCTCAGGAAATGGCCTTTGTCGGTCCATTGTTATTATTTCAACAAATGATAAAATTCTTGTTTGTTTTTTAATCTAAAAAAATTCTGAATTTATCTAAATTCATCTTGACAATGATACACTATTATGAACTTTGTACTTATGCACCGATTTGGCTGGATTCTACGCCAGCGATATAGACAATCACAGCCCTCAACAGAAAAACGGTAAACATATGACTTTTGGTTGTGGCCTCCGATTGGCTGTATTCGTTGGCAAACAATCCAATCAAATTGTTCTATTTAAATTCCATGATACAAGAAAGGTGACTATTGCTGGACATTATGATGATTAAAATGCAGATTTTGATGTTTCGTTCCGTGCTTTTCCCTTTTTTTGCAATTAGCCTTCAGAGAAAAAACGAAACACCATTACCAGTGGCTAAAGTAGAGAGATCCCCACCCCCCAACACATGTGTTAGGAACCCGCACATACTGAACTTATGATCTTGACTGAATTGACCACAAGTTACTGGGATCTACAACATGCCATTGAATCCTTGTGCAGATTTCTAGCTGAAGTAGGCCTAGTCTTGCTGCCAATTTCAATGTCCGCCATTTTGAAATCATACAAACTAAGAACACTTTCTGATATTACGTCATCGGCGTATTTATCATTGAGCTTACAAACTTCACAATCTGAGGTAAGGTTTTCAATTTGCTCAGAAATTTCGGCGTTCGGTTCCACAGATATCAATACTTCTGCGTCATTTCCTTTGCTTTCGGTGTTCACAAAATGGCGGCTTGATCCACACACGCTAGAGCTCGAAAGATTCATGTTATAGTTACACAAGCTCAAGCAACTCGAAGGAATGTGTCCTGGGGTTGATAAATTCTTGATCGACGTGACAGAACGATGTCGGAGACATGTTTGGTATCCATACTTGTCCAGTGTATTTGTTCTTTTGGGTGTTGCTTTAGGTGTGTTCGATGGTCGTTCCGGATGTATCCCTTGTGATTTTTCTCTGCTCATCTTGCTTATGTCGAAAAGACTCAAACATACGTCTGGTAATGTAACTCCTTTGCGGTCAATAAATTGATGCTCTTTCATCATGGTGGAGCAGGCTCTTGTCGCTGCATGACTGCAAGTAATTCTGTAAGGATCGTGCTGGTAGCTTCCATTATGGTCTCTTCTTCTAGGCTTCGCCAAGCCATCTATTCCAACAGAAACGCTAGATTTTGTTGTCAAATTTCCAATTGGGATAGAGTGTGTACCAATTTCGCGGAATGGATTCTTCTCGTTACGTTCTGTGTCTGGTTGGGTGTACTCGAATGTCCTCGGCGGTTTGACAGGACTTGTTTCTGTCGACCCGGTTCTGAACCTTGACATTACGCCATGACGTCCTGCGTTTAATTCTGCAACACCATTGTGAAGTACTTCCGGTTCATATACGTACTGTAACGGACGTCGAATTTTAGGCTTCCTGTGGGTATCTTTCGGTCGTTCTCTTTGGTTTTCAAGAAATCTATTTTCTGCACTTCCGCTACTTTCTTTGGTATTGTTATGAGGCTCTCCGCCATTTGGTTCGTCACCGGAAATATTCTGATTGCTAGGATGAAAATATTTCACATCGCATTTTATCAAGTCAGATTTTGTTTCCTCTTTGGAAGTGTTTTGTCCGGAAGGCGGTGCTAGATCGACATAACTTCCAGATGGTGAATCGTGCAGATCGAGCTGACATGTTTCTTGGATTCTCTTCATGTCATCTGTAGAACTTTGCTTACAAATCCCTATGAAGATGCCATGCGAATCGTCAACACTGCGCAGAACGGCTGCTTTATGACCCTGCCTCTTTCCCATTCTCCCGATACCCTCGTCCTGGGCACCAACCAACTGCAGCAGGACTTCATTACGTTTCTGTTCCGAATCATTTAAAGTCGACTTTTGATCATTTTCCCCGGATTCAGTGCCAAAAAGATTCACTTTTGGAAAAGCTTCCATACGACTTTGAAGTAGATTTATTGGATCGATCTATGTCGCTTGGAAAGTAACCGTCTGGAAAAATCCCCTGTGTAGTTTCTGCTCGTATGGTCCAAAATTCTGGAGCAGACGAGACATTACCGGATGATTGCTCCGGGGAAAATTCTATATTACCATGGTTACTGGAATTCCTTATAGGCGATGACGATATTGGATACAGTTTTCTACCCGTACTTGTCGTCGAGTAATTTCCTCTGGCGATTTCAACTGGTTCTGCAGTGAAGAACGACGTTTCGAGATATCCCTGTGTCCCATTTTGCTTCATTGCTCTTTCAGGATCATTTAAACTGCTTGTAGACAACTCTAGTGCGCTGTATCTTTGGTTTTTTCTCTGATGCGTCGCCTCGAAATCTTCTATAAGGTCCAGCAGACGTTTCCAAGATGGCGTCTTCTTTGAAAGCAAACTGAGCGAGTTGAGTTTATCTGTAAATATCTTGTTATTTTGTTTGCGTTCATCTTCAAATAACTGAAAAGAGATATTTTTTTTGTTATGTGTAGGCCTAGAGGCCATTATGTAACGGTAGGTTACGACTAGAATATTTTTCTAAAAGTTTAATTTGGTAATTAGTATCAGAATATGCCAAAAGTATCTGGATTCCTTTTAACGAAAAAATCTCATGATTTATTTTTTTGTCAAGTTCTGGCCAATCAAGATAAATTTTGATTAGCATTTCTAAAAATATCAGTAGCAATTTAAAATGTTCCAGTGGTAAACCTTCAAATGTTAAATAATTAGATTTGATTCACAGATAGTCGTGATAAATTTTAAATTGTCTAATCATAGGAAATATTGGATCGCAAAAGTGGTCATTTTGAATCCTGATTTCACACCCACAATTCATTTTTTATGAACGGGGCCCTGACCGAAGAGTGAAGTGTAGTTTTAAACAGATATATACTTATTTGAGAAATAATCAAATCTGAAACACCCCCCTCCCCAAATATAAAATTTGAAAAATAATATTTAATTGGTGTGTTCTGAAATATAATTTGAAGCAAAAAGGAAAAGAAATCATATGTATGCATGCCCAAGTTGGGCGTATATGCAATAAATCTTATCTTATGCTGAAATTTCTTTGAGTGAGGGTACAATCGGGGGGGGGGGGGGGGGGGGTGGGGTAGGCACAGGTCATTCTTTCATTATGGTAAAATGATAAAAAAATTAGAAACGCCACTTCCCCCTTGTATCCCAACTTACCCAGGCCTCGATTATTCCATTAAATGATGGTAAACTTTCATGGTTGGATTCAATCGCTGTTTTAATCAATCTGAAATATAATCACCAAGATGGTAGTTAGAGACGGGAGGTCGTTAAAATCAGATTATTTTATAATGAATTGTGCTGAATAGTCTGCAAGCTATTCTTCCGTTAAACATCAAACAGAGGGAATAGTGACTCTACTATAGATCAGTGTGGCCCGAGACCTTAAGTGGGCTGGGGCCCCTCCATAGGGGAATTTTATTAACATATGCTTTCCTGCTTTTTTTCACTGGGTATGGGGACCGGTGGATTTGGTTCAGCCAGTCCTTACGGCAGTAAAGTCACAGGGATAAGGTTGAGTTATATCAATTGTAAGAGCTAGGATTGTCTGGGTTTTCAACTACTTCATCCCTTGCTGTGCCATCGTATCACGAATACGGGTTTTGACATGGTCTTATTGAAGTATGACGAATGGGGGGTGTGGTTTGGACACGAAGTTGCTATGTATGTTTTCTTAGAAAAGTTTACTGTTTTTAAATTTTAGTCACACCCTTACATTAGTCACGCTCTTACAAGGATATCTATAATCGTATCGATATTAAACGGTACTGCTGCAGTTAAATTGTGGGCCGATTCATTTCTGAAAAGTAGTAATATAACATGGGGGAATACGCATCCCCTAAAAACTCGATTGGGAAAAATACAAAAGTTGGAATTATGATGAATACTATGTAAACCTCAGTTAGGTTAATAATTATCTATTAATAGCAACCACTTTACTTATTTTGAATATGAAAGGGCATCCGTTAAAAAGTGTTAGGCGTCTCGCCCTGATGATAATGATAATGACAAAGGCCTTGTTTGTAAACAAGTAAGCAAGAAATAGTTAAAACAAGTGAGGCTGAAATGTCGCAAGGACACTAATGGTTTCGAATAAAATTGCAATAATCAAAACTTGCCACACACTCCAAATATGAGATGAAAACCAGGGTACAATTTATAATTTCAGATACATAAAAACACCATCCGATGAAATATCCCGATGAGGCATGTTGCCTCGAGGGGCGTACTACCCCTTGCTACCCTACGGATGGTTAAAAATAAATTACCAAGGCAAGTATTTAGACGGCTATAGCCCTTAATATTCGAGCTCATTTCAGTCGAGGGTATATTTATACCCTAGGCTAACTACCAGAGTTTTATATAAATTGGATTTGACTACTGAAAGAAATCATTTGGCTTCTGAAATAAGGCTATATTTTCATACAATAATAATCTCGAGTCCATCGCATGAAGATACCTCTACGTGATGCCTGTTACATGAATTGTATCATTTTTACATTTTTAGATGTCTTAAATGATTTTATTCTATGTAAAGCGCTTTAGGTTTTTAAGATAGGGCGCTATATAAATATGTGTATTGTATTGCATTGTAAAAACGACGAGTCGACGAAGCCGAGACTCTCGTTCTTCTGGCGAACCATGAGCATAGATCAATCGTGAGATCGCAAATCTATCTTGATAAAATGACCCCATTGTACACTGCATACCAATCTGTTTTAGTCTTCTTAGCTCCAGAAGTAACCTTGTCTCGAAATCTCATTTCATATACATATATTTGACAGGATGGACAGTCAGTATATATCGCTTGTAACTTTACCAGAGCCTATAATAACCAAGTATAAAATATCAGTTAAGGCCTACCCGAATTCGGTATCAATGGATAAGAAATAATATCGGTAATAAAACCGCCTGGTAATGGTTTTGAAATCTGCTAGGGTCAAATCTTCACCATGGCGAACTCGAGTTGAAAAATCTACAAATTCATCTTGGTTACTCTCAGAATTTTGAAGATGGTAAATAATTTTGGATTCTCTCATTGTCCTTTTCGCCATGTTGCATCGTTCTTCTCAGTCGTATAGGCTTTGGCGCCAAAAATAACACAGCAGGCTTTTAATGATAGCTAGTGAATATTTCACTTTGTCATACTCTGTTTCTGTCGGCATGCTTTGATCTATTGCTTTGATCACGGATATCAAAGGATTTGTGAGAATTTCACGTCATATAGATGAAAAATTATATTAAAAATAACATCACATACACATTATTGTGAATTATTGTGACAATCTCCTTTTAACAAATTGAGTGGAATCAGATTGGAGGTGGGGTTTTGAAACATTGGAAGTTATATGAATCACCAAGTGCAGGGGGCGGGAGTCTAGTAGAGGCTAATTGTATGTGTTTTGGGGGTGTAAAGGTGGACCAACATTTCTGTCTACTACTGAGTTGAAATCCACAGTGAGGGAATGATATGGTGTTGTTGTGTACGTTTTCCCTCGGTTCATGATAATTTATGTTTGGAGTTCATGTGTATTTAAGATTAATTTATTTTTCGGGGATTTCATTCTCTCCTTCACTCTTAAATGACATCAAACTAAAATGTATATGATTGAAGACTGATCGTATCCTCTCTCAGCTGCAAAAACCTGCGTTGAGTTTTTGTGATTTTTTGACAACAAATCGATAAAGTACACGGAAATAACAGTTGTTAATTTGAAAAATGAAAAATATTAAAATGTTTTATGAGGAAGTCACCTGTATAAACTATCACTATCAGGAAGTAAAATAACAAAAAACAAGTAGTTGCCTAGCAAGATACGCCCACTTCCCTGATACATTTTCAGTATATCATGCCCAGTCACTGATCTGTGTTAAATTGTTCCAAAATTTGTATATAAGATATTGTTGATTTAAACCAACACAAAATTCTGACATAAACTGTCACCTGTATTGCGTTCACAAGCCACATTTAACATCAAATGTATTATTAAAATGAGTTGGTCTCTACATAGTATTCATAAACAAATTTTGACGCTTTTTTTTACTAATTCAAGGACCATAACGATCAACGAAAAATCGTTATATTCGAATTGACCTTAATCTTATTAACATAAATGATCACAACAAATTTCATTATAATCAGATGAAAACTATCGTGTCTTTATTGAATTCACAAAAAACAATTGATGAGTTTTTACTTAATCAAGGGCAATGACTCGAAAAATAACACCAAATTTCATTAAAATCGGATCAAAACTGTAGTCTCTTTTGTGTTCACAAACAAATTTTTAAGTGTTTTTACTAAGTCAGAGGCAATTACTCAAAATCGTTCATCGAACTGTAGTCTCTATCGTGATAACAAGTCAATTGTAGGCGGACCGACTGACCGACAGGGACGACGACAATAAACGACCACATTATAAAGCGAGTGTTATTTTAGTGCCATTCACGAAAGAATTCTTTCCTGGATTATGTCTATCCAAACGCTTTTAGATCTTTATTTAACTTGGTCAAATACAGAGAAAAGATGAAAACTAGAACTATTCTTGCGAGTATAATATAGTAGAAGATGGAAAGTCGTTGGGTTAGGAAATAAATAGTCACTCTTGAGATTACATTCTTTTTATTACTGTCTAAAATTTGGTTATCAATATCATTGTAAGCCGCGAAACTGCTCTCGGGGCCCTGTGATTCAGCTAATACAATATTGATTCAAGGGAAAAAACTCTTGTTTAGAATAATTATTTACAGTTACGTCCCCTTACAGTATTCCATAGCAACGCACACATGTCTTAGAAAAGAATAGAGTCCCGTGTAAATAGAGTGATATTTGCTTTCTTATTAATTTCTATCGATTGACAACACCTTTAATTGAAAATCGCAATATTTATTTACATTTCAAATGGCTTCGGCATTTCATTGAATTTGAACTAATCATTAATTTCGAGTGCAAAGTTTGCTCAGAAACGCGTCCGCCATTTATAAACAATATGGCGGACAATGTTGATTTCTTTTAACGTCTGTGAAAGAGTAATGCAATTTTAATGAGATTCCGTCAATAATTGATTGATCATCATAATCGGAATTCCTGATTGGATTATAAGATGTAGCAGATCCGAGATTTTCTGATGTTTCAAGCGAGCATTGGTTGGATTTGAGTGTGGAGGCTGAAGTGTGAATTTTTTAGAGTGACATTTTCCTAGTCTGTATAGCAAGGCCTATTTGTGAATGAAGATCTGCAATAATTTATTTTTGGCTTAGATTAAGATTGCAGTTTGTGAAATTCCTTGAAGCAGAATTTAACTATCCCAGTCAGAAAGAAGAACATCCCTGCTGGGTAGGCTAGATTTGGAGATCCTTGAAAAGTTTATTTTTCTATTAAGTTCAGTTCCAAACACAACTAACAGCAGAAACCTTGACTTCTGAAAGAAAGTGAGATCATGCCAATAGAAAAGTTTGGAAGAAAGTTTACTCTTCCTGATAGTCCGTAAGTTTTGATATTATAGTCTAAAGTCTGTCATTTGAATTAATAGCATTTAAACAGAATAAGGTTACATCACAATCATTTACATTTGTTATTATTTAAATTTTGCATTCAGTTTAAGTCAAAATACATTCACTTAATAGTCTTATATTTGTGGAAGTCATTACTAGTTACAGAGAGATAGAATATGAGTGCTATAATAGTTGGCCACCCACACACTAGGTTTTATCAGCTGAAAAGAAAAGAAAATTTAATTATTTTCACATTATTCATATTGATTGATATAATTGCACTCCTACATTTTGATTAAATCAAGCTAATATTGTATATTATGACGTAGAAATTTCTATACAGCCTTATAATCTAACTTTTGATGTATTGAGCACTATATTAAAGGGAGAAGTTCTCCGTTTTTTTGACCAGTTTTACTTTAGACTCCAAAACTGGAATTATTTAACTAAGCTAACGGTAATTAGTAATATTGATCATAGCTCATCATCAACATTTTGAAATCCATGTGTCCAGAATTATCTGCCTCATTTCTTGACACTCTGTCATGATAGAAATAGAAAGTAAAATTCCTAGTTTGAGGTAATTTTGAACCCCCCGAAAATGGCTTATCTATCCCTTTAACAGTTGAAATATATGTTGTGTTATTTTTTAAGCTTATTTCATTAAGACAGTTGATTATGTAGACTCTGTAGGTTTTTTACAGATGAGTAAATTATTTTTTTTTATCAATCTAAGAAAATAAATAACTTTAATCCGAGGGTTAAATTATTGAAAATTAAATTAATTATTGATTATTGGTACTGTTATCAGAGTCTCTAAGATTATGAAGATGTAATGTTATATTTGATACTCTATATTACAGGATTACATAAACCAATTAAAACAAATTATAATGGAGAGTAAAATTAAGAAGAAAAGTCAAGATGAAGATATCAGTAGTTCTAGTGGTTCGGAGTCAGATGATAGTGAAATAGAGGAGGTACCAGTTGAAGTTGATACGAACGTTACTAGCGGTCAGGCGTTAACGCTGGTGGATGACGACTCCCCGTTATTAATTCAACCTAAAGAAGATGAAGGAGAGGGAGAAGGGGAACCAGATTCACGGTTAAATTATACAGGTAGTGTGACGATTTTCTCTTTTTATAATAAACCGACACTCTATATCATATTGGTGAGCAGATTAGAAAATGAAATAGATTTTTACATGTACCCTTCTACATCTGTTATGGCAAATAATTTTTATGTGTCAAGGGATCTATAAGGCTGTAACTCACTGGAGTTGATTAACAGGTCTATATTAAAGATGTGTGAAATAAAGTTTCCTTGAAAATAATAAGTGTGTACTAGACAGTGCCACCAGGGAGGCTAGGGTGGTTTTATAAATAATAGCTTACACAAAATTTAACATTTAACTCTCTTTGTATCTACCCTAATTTTAGATAAAAATTAAAATTCAGCCCTCCCTTTTCTTGGTTAGCTCTGTCACTTCAGTGTCAATCAGAAAAAAAGGGCAAAAAATTTCTTGATGAATTTATTTGTGCCTGTTTTCAGATTTTGAGAAACAGTTTGAGTTTGAAGGAGAAGGGGATGAAGAAAATAGAAATAAAGTTAACTCTAGTCAATCAGAAACACCAACTTCAGATAAAAAGAAGAAAAAGAGGAAGAGAAAAAAGTGAGTTGAGACCTTCGTAAAAACAATGAGATATATTCATAAATTTCTGGCAATTGAAGTGTAACTTCAGTTTAGCATCAAGTTTTACAGAGTCCACATAACTAATAATATTTATATATTGGGTTTTTAGGTTTGTCAATCAAGAATCCTTATTTAAGTGAGTCCACATAGCTAAAAATTTTGATTGGGAAATAGAGAATGTTAACTTGACATCCCATTCAGAGAGTCCACATAGTTAATAATGTTTATATATTGGGTATTTAGGTTTGTCAATCAAGATTCCCTATTTAAGTGAGTCCACATAGCTAAAAATTTTGATTGGAAAATTGAGATTGTTAACTTGACATCCCATTCAGAGAGTCAACATAGTTAATAATGTTTATTGGGTATTAAGGTTTAGAAACTTGAATTTTGCAATAGCTACATGTCCATATAGCTTCTAATTTCAATTTAGTATTAAGGTGTAGCAACGTCCCATTCAACATAATGTTGGTTAATCAACAGTTTGTTGCTTGTCATCTCATTCAGAGAGTTTACACTTTATATCGATATATGACGAATTTGTCTACATAATCTGTATTTTAAAGTCAGTTAGTTATTGTAATATTGTATGTAAATCCTGTAATTTGGCCTGATAAACTCGAGATATTCGATCTATTTGATTTTTCTAGTTGAATACAGCTAGACGGATTAGTGTAAATAATAGGTATAGAATATATTATAATACCTGAACAATAACATTATTACCTGTATATAAACCTTATATTATAATCACAGGGACTGGAGACATTGATACCCTACTTGACTTTTATAACAGTTTTATTGTACCATGAGAGGTCAATTCTTTATCAATAAAACCATTTTCTAATATGTTTACTTACTTGAAGAATATGTTCTCAAACATATTTAGAGGGGAATCATAAAAGTAACCTTTAACTAATTTGGGTCACATAAAATTGGTTTCAACAACTTTTATAATATTTTATTTCACAAGTCTAACATCAGACACTGTATCTTGTTTAATCCCACCTATAAAATGATTTTAGTGTTTAAAGTTTGTTTATATGATTTCTTTAAAGGGTATGAATTAAGGCTGGCAAAATGATTGAAAAATCAATTATCAGGAACTTCGATTACCGATTATCAAATAACATTTTCTCCACTGTACCTGTTAACAAGTAGTAATCTCTTCCATATAGTTTCCCTTCAGAACATAACATACCCACAATAAACTATAATAACTGATCAAAACAAGAATATACTTCTATAACGCATAACATACCCACAATAAACTGTAATAACTGATCAAAGTAAGAATATACTTCTATGATACATAACATACCCACAATAAACTATAATAACTGATCAAAACAAGGATATATTCTATAACACATAACATACCCACAATAAACTATAATTACTGATCAAAACAAGAATATACTTCTATGATACATAACATACCCACAATAAACTATAATAACAGATCAAAACAAGAATATACTTCTATAACACATAACATACCCACAATAAACTATAATAACTGATCAAAACAAGAATATACTTCTATAACACATAACATACCCACAATAAACTATAATAACTGATCAAAACAAGAATATACTTCTATAACACATAACATACCCACAATAAACTATAATAACTGATCAAAACAAGAATATACTTCTATAACACATAACATACCCACAATAAACTATAATAACTGATCAAAACAAGAATATACTTCTATAACACAAAACATACCCACAATAAACTATAATAACTGATCAAAACAAGAATATACTTCTATGACGCAAAAATAACCCATGAAATTAAGAATTTTGGCAATTTTTCAATTCAGTATTCTCAAGTTTCTAAATTGAATTTTTTTCGATTATTAATCAATTAGTGATCGTAATTCTGCCATCGATAATCTATCTCAATTTGTTAATCGATACCCAGCCCTACTAGTATCAATATCTTTATCATGCATAAGCTTACTCTACATATATTACATTAGCTGTTTGTTTTTTAGCCCAAACTTGTAGATAACAGCATAATATATTGTATGTTGGTTTTGTGTTGAAGTTAATCATGATTATATTAATTCAGTTAATAATGTAAAAATAACCCATGACATTTTGTTTTATTCCCTATAGACTACTATATCAGTTTTATGGTAATTTGATTATAGAGCAGGCAACTTTTATAGTCCTAAAACTTCAGCAGACAAAAATATAATTAATTAGAAAAGTTGTTTTTCTTTGTATAAATGATACAGTAGTATTTTCTGACCATGTTTATAAAAAAAATTTTGATTCTAGTTTAAATTAATTATGAGGCTAAAAGTTATATGTTCACTGGCTAATATGTAAAAATCTACTGTAAAATTCTTTGACAAACCAAGCCTAAGTGATTTAAAAAAGAAAGTTGAATATAAAACATAAAACTGAATAAATAATGGAAAAATGTGTATAAAATTTTCTTTTACGTTTTGTAATCTGAATTTAACTTGTACCCTACTAATAATAGGTGATGGATTTTTAACAATTATTGTTTAATTGTAATAATTATTCTAGTTGAAATAAATAAGATATTGTTTGAATCATGTGCAAAACATGCCGACAAATACTCTTTTGCATTGAATTGTGTATTTACTATGTGCGACATGTTGTTAGTGTGAAAAAGGTTACAGTGTGTTGATATAACAATATAAACTATGGATACAGGATAATAAAACCCCATATTATCATGTTTTAACACAATAAACCTCTAGTTATTAGCCATTTCACAAGATTTATAGCTTAATAATTCACTCTCTAACAGTTGTATTGATCATAAAACTTTTAACTTACACAGGAAAACTAAGAGAAATTTGTAAATTTTGACTGTGACATAAAGGTCTACCATGTTCACAGTTTTACTAGTAGGTGCTGTTTTTCCTGAATGCCTAATCACCATTACTTTCATCTGAAATCACAATAGATTTTTACTCGTTAAACAAATTCAGTTTTCAAAAAGACGACATGGGATTTCTACTGGCCCTCAACCCCCAGAACTGAGGCTTGGCCAGAGAGTCTGAGAATCTTATGCCTGTGAGCCCTCATTGACAATTCTCTGGCCCATTTTCAGCCTCTCACCTAATGATTGATAGAAACACCACTGCAGATATCTTAATCTAATGTCGTAACGATGTTCTGGTAAAAGTGAAGAAGAGTATATTTAAACATGGGCCAAGGTTATTAATGAATCAGCAAAGGTTTAAAACTACCAGCCGAGGTTAAAGTCATATTTAGTTGATATATTTTATGATGTTATGATTCTTTAAGTGCAGCAGATTGGAAATTGGAATGGTGCAAATAGATTCAATCAACATCAGTGTCCCTGATACTCATAAAAGTTTAGAAAACCTCTCACAATCCCTTTAACTTAAAATCAACTACAAATTCGGTTTTCAAAAGGCATAGTCATCTAGTCATGTATAAACGTAAATTTATTGATAATGTATTAAAAATGGAAAGCACCGGCCTAGGTTAAAGCTATGTTAAAGTTGATGAATATTTGATAATGTTTGATAAGTATAGCTGAAGTGAGAGTAAGACAGGCGATATAGCCTGACTGGGTACTGTTATATCTTACTGTTAATTCTTCTCTAGTCATTATACTTTTATTTTACCTTCTTAATATTAATATCTCAATAATTCATTATGAGATCTCTTACTTTACTCCTTAACCTAAAAGCTTATTTGACCTCAATTTCTAAAACTATCTGTCCTGATGAGGATTGTTTATCTGAAACACATGTCAACAGAATGAAATGAGATGAGAATGATCCAGATTTCAGGTCTATTTCCCCAAATTTGAGCCTGCTGTTTTTGTATATTTTCAGATGGTTGTATATCTGTCTTTCAAACTGTAAATATGATGTGGGTAAGTTCGTAAATTATATATTTTACTGTGGGGTGAGGAAATGGGCAGGAAACTTTTTGAAAATGCAACTGGATAGACTGAGCTATTCCCATGATGACAGAAACTCAATTCAAATGATTAGAAGAATTTTTGATTTCCACTGTATTATTCAATCAAGATATTTTCGTGTATTTTCAGTTCGTAAAACCAGTCGTAAATACGGGTTTAAAGAAGTATCAGAGGATGATTCTGATTGGACGCTATATTGGACAGATTATTCCGTAGCGTTAGAACGGGTGATGGATATGAAAAGATATCAGGTAGGATCAGAAGATAGATGGTTTTCATAAGGTTCAATATTTAATTTGACTATTCTCATGGAGTGTCGATTCCAAGCAAATTGTGGTAAAGATAGAGATTGTTACACCAATCAGCATTTATTCTTAGATATAAACTTATCGTAGTTGGACTGCGTTTACACACCAATAATACTATTGAGACCAACGTTTATTTCTTATATTTATATTCAAATACTCAATTATTTATTAAGAAATGTCATACATCTGAAATTTTGTCCTTTCAAGCTGAATAATTACATCTTTTGTTTCCATATTTTTAGAAAATCAACCATTTTCCGGGAATGAGTGAAATCTGTCGTAAAGATTTATTATCTAGAAATTTAAATAGAATGTATAAACTCTATCCTAAAGAATACAATGTCTTCCCTAAAACATGGTGCCTTCCAGCAGAGTAAGTAGCCTCAGGCTTGTATTTGTCATTTTTTGTCCTGTTTCTAAGTGCTGTTTCTAAGTCCTTTCATTAAGTATTGGAGGGTGAAAGCAGACACACTGACTCTCAGAAGCACTGGCACAGGCATCAGATTGCATTAGAAGTTAAAAAAATCCCTTTTTCATAGGCTGTGCAATTATAAAAACTCTTCCTTATTGCCCAAATCTTTATTAGCCCGAAAGCTCGTTTCATAGCAGAACTCTTAAGTTCTCTCATAACAAGCATGTAATCCGTGGAATGGTCGATAAACTAAAACCCTGTGTGCCACAGGATGTGCACGTTATAGATCCCTCAACAGTTGGAAAACAAAAGGAGTAGGCTAATGCCGCTGTCCTGGCGTTGCCAGTCCTAACAAGCCCATATAGGTGCAGAAAAATAGGACGTAAAACTCCATTTCATTTCATGTCTAATAACAAGCAGGAAGCAAGGACTAAATTCGAAACATTTTTTTCAGTCATGGAGATTTCCAATCGTATACTCGTCAGAAGAAAAATAAAACCTATATATTAAAACCTGAGTCAGGGTGTCAAGGAAAGGGTATTTGGGTCACTAAAAACCCTAAAGAAATTAAAACTCACGAACATCAGATTTGTCAGGTTTATCTCAATAAGGTAAAACAGATCTTAACTTTAAGAACACTAGTTAGAGGTACAAATGGCAGTATTTGAATCTTGCATGAATGGATGTCTAGTTGACAATCTCAGGGTGGTGCGATATACGAAAGGGTGACCACGCCCTGCCTGACAAATCTGTCTCTGCCCAATTCTTCAAAAAAATAATGACCCAGATATGAGGGGGTTACCCATAAAAAGTGACATTAGATGTCTGGCCCCACTGTGGTGATATCATATCAGTAAATCACTCTAAGGTACAGGGGCCTTATTCTCGGAAACTTAACATAAGGTGATTTTAGTGTTCCAGTCATCTGATTGGTCAATTATTAGTTTTATTGTCCAATCAGATTGCTGTATTTCTTAAAATCCGGATTTGATCTTACTTAAGTTTTCGAGAATAAGGCCCCTGGATACACTCAGTTTTGTTCTTCTAAAGTATGCTCTGCCTTACTAGAGACATCCAGCATCCAGCAGTTATTCTATAATGACAAAGGTTCTCAGCTGTCTTCCAGCTGGTCCTTTTCAAGCCATCTTGGCAGCTGGGTTTACCATAATATTAAGGAAAGTTAAGATCACTGGAATAAGAACAAGTTATAATGTTATTATTAAGTTTTATATTATTTTTCAGCCGTTTTTAATTGATGGTTTTAAGTTTGATCTACGTCTGTATGTGGTGGTAACTTCGTGTGATCCATTACGAATATTTCTATTTAAAGATGGCCTGGCTCGATTTGCTACCAATAAATATGCTGAACCAACTAACAATAATTCAGTAAGTAATATTTTAATCATAGAGCTAGCAATGTTTCTGTAAACTTGATTATATAAAGAAATATTCCTCCTTGTTTATTTTTCTGTCTCATTATGATGGAAGTGGAAGATGTAATTACTTCTTATGATGTTGCAAATATTTATATTTACACTTTGAACCCCGAGTGTAACTGAAATATAACGCATATACCCTGAACTCCCAAGTAATAAAAGTAAAAGCGTATGACGTTAACGTTGTATGATATCACTTAGTAACGGCCGGTATACCGGCTGCTCAGGTATATATTGCGTTAGTATGTGGCCGGTATACCGGCTGCTCGGGTATATATTGCGTTAGTGTTTGGCTGGTATACCGGCCGCTAGGGTTGCAAGGGTTAAATTCATAGCAATTTGTGAGTCTGTGTAAAATTTGGTCACTACACACATTGATCAGCCTTTTAATAGAATAATATTTTACTTTCAGGACAATGTTTATATGCATTTAACAAACTACGCCATCAATAAACATAGTTCAGATTTTATTAAAGATGATGATGAGGCTGGTAGTAAACGGTAAATTTCTATTTCTCGGGTATACAAAAATTGTCAAGGAGATGATGAAGACATGTAACTAGTATATTACAAGTGATTGTTTAACAGAAAGTCTTTGACTGATTCCCATCCCGATCTCAAGCTATGTTATTTCGTAAAATGTTTATCAATGTATGTGTCAGATTCAGCAGATCAGTTTTATCTTTCAAAATGTTTTGGAGGGTGGGGATGGTATGGGAGAACCCCCTCAGACCCACTGTCACTATGGTCTAAGGTGCTTGCAATGGGAACCTTAACCCCACCTTTTGTACCCCGATTGAGTAAAGTACCAACTGGTTACCTGGGGTAATGCAGGTTTGAGGTGTGGAAAAAGCTTCAATAAACAATAAACCGAGGCCCAGTGTGCTATAGGCAGTGATGTTACATCTACAATTGAAAACAGCAGGCTTATTCTACTGTCTTATTCTACTGTCTTATTCCACTGACTGATGTCCAGAGTGTCGACAGTTATCCCCCGTCAAATATTTCTACCCCCACAGCATCTGATGCCACAATTAAACTGTAACTATCGTATTATATTACAGGAGAATAACAACGATAATGAAATATTTAAAAGACAAAGGACATGATGTGGAGAAACTGTGGGAAGATATTGATGATGTTATTATAAAAACTATGATATCGGCACACTCTGTTTTAAAACATAACTATCGAACTTGTTTCCCCAATCACGTTAAAGGTAGCGCTTGTTTTGAAATCTTGGGATTTGATATTTTACTAGATCGAAAGTTACGTCCATTAGTTTTAGAGGTAAGTAGAATTTGGCTTTCAATTGTATTGGTCTTATTCTCCAAACTTTGAATTAGATTATTTTCTTGTTCCAGTCATCTGATTGGTCAATCACTTAAATTGATTTTAAATTAGTTTAATATCCAATCAGATTACTGTATTACTTTAAATCTAGATTTTATTTAGTTAAGTTTATCGATAAAGCCCCTGTTAATCTGTTCTGTGAACAATATTATAGATTACAATGACTAAAATCTTTTATCGATGAAACCATTTTGCGTTTCAAATGCTCAGAGTAAGAAATGCCAATTTTGCCCTTGATGAAATATTCAAATTTCACACACCTTCAACCCTTACACCTATTATTAAATTATCATTGCCTAGTGTGTTCTTTGCCTTTTTCATAAAATACAATAAAGCAAAAAGTACCAATATATTGCGTTATATATTATGTTATTTTGGATTTCTGGTTTGTGGTTTGGATTTCTAGAAGACTTATGTGTTTTGTTCTTGAACTGAAATTTCCGGGCTATCCTCCTGTAAATGTTAAATTATTTTTCAGGTGAATCATTCGCCTAGTTTTGGTACAGATGCTCAGATAGATAAAGATATCAAGGGTACACTAGTCTGGGATACGTTAAATATCGTTAATTTCGGAGCGTGTGATCGGAGAAAATGTATCGAGGAAGAAAAGAAACGAATCAAAGATAGACTGATGGGAAAATATAATAAAAAAGAATCCAAGTAAGAGGCTGTATTTTCAATTGCTTAAGTTGAATCTTGTAACAGAATGTTAAACTGAGACCTGATATGCTAAATGGAGACGGCAATTGCAGTTGTTAATGTCATGGCATAAATTCTCTTACCTCACGTAAAAAAAACTCTTATGCCTGTGTCGGTGCTTCGGAGAGTCGACCCAGTGCCGGTTTTCACCACCCAATATGTATATAAGACAGCCTGTGTTCACAAGAGATCAATAAAGGAACTAATGCAAGAATTTATTGAGGGATTTCATGGGACAGGTTCATTCTTTGTCTTAGATGTATTTTATAGCCTTCATGATATTTATTCAACATGTTGTAATTTGATTATTCAGTTTTTTTTTCAATCATTAATTAATATGAAGTTTTGTAGAATCTGATCTTGGATTGTTGTATATTTATTATAGAGAAGAGCTAGAAGCTGTACAAGCCCAGTATTTATTACAACAAGAAAGATACGAGGTCAACCACTGTGGAAATTTACGCAGAATTTATCCCAAACTAGGCTGCGAGAAGTATGATAAATACTTTCAGAGTAGTGGAACTTTATTTCAGGAAACAGCAGCATTTAAAGCCAGGTCGGAAATAGCTAGGTGAGTTGTCTAACTTATACTTGATCATCATGACTTAATGTCCAATAGATCCAAAAATGGACAATTGAGCTTTGGAAATTATAATCAAATCAAGGCTGTCATGGAAAAAGTGCCTAGACGTTTGGATGGGACAATAAACCTAGGCCCCTTCTGCTACAGACTGTTCACTTTCAAGATCTCTTGACAGTTGGAAATCGATGAAGAGTAGGTTAATGCTGCTGTCCTGGCAAAATTTCCCTCATTGCACCCCGTCTGTATAAGCTCAATAGGTGCAGAAAAGTGCATCTCATTTTGTTAATTTTGTTTCATTTTCTTTCCTTTCTAGACAACAGCGTGAAGATATTTTACGTAAGAAAGAGAAACAGGAATCCATGTTAAAAGGGAAGAAGAAAGATGGTTTACGACCGGAAAGTCCCAACTTGCGGAAACGGAAAACCTTACGTAGAACTATCATGCCCTCTAGAAAATTTTATAATGGAAGACCTAATGGAGATGTAAGCTTAGTTCATTGTGTATATCGTGAAACTAAACTGTCTTGTCAGTGTTGTTGTATGAAAGAGAGGGAGTGCCCACGTGGACTGTCTGATTTGTGGGTGGGGGGTCTAATTTTCAAGTAGTTACTCCGTCCATAACTAACTACCATATGGATAACCGAGTCTGTATTCCAAATAACTGGCATTAAATGGAACGAGTGGTGTTTTTATTTATCATTAGATAAAGGGGCCACAAAATTTTCAAAGGCAGCTAACAGACAGTTTTATCCCTTTTTAAAATAATAAGAAATTCAAGAATGGGTGAGCCAAATCCTGTTCAGATTCAGTTCTAGTAGAAATACCAATGCCGGTAGCAACTTGACTTTCAGCGACCTTCAGCAGCTGGTGGTATCTTGTAAAATTTCATCAATTATTATTAGATTTCATCAAATCTTAATATACTGACAATTGAAAAATTTCTTTTGTCAATTTTCTACTTTGAATAGCAAAATTTGGACAAAATAGTCATTGAATCTGACTGACAATTCAGTTGATTGCAGAAGCAGATCTGTTGAGATGATGTAAATTGTTTTTTAGACCTTTTGTAGGCCGTTTATTTAACATTTATATGTATTTTTAAGTGGGCCGTGAGCATCAAGAAACTTTTTATTCATGTTCACACAATATTTTTTTAATTTCCTCAGATTCTAGGAAGTGATGGCCGTGCTGAATCGTCGTCTGAAGATTTATTGGACACGAAACATCCAATGGATATATTAGAAGAAGAGGAATTAGAGAGGATTAGTGGATTATTGCAGAGAGATAATCTGGTCAGGGGATTAGGTAGGTCTCAGGATTATCTTATTAGCTAAATAGGTGCAAATAAATAGAACAGAAAACTAAAATGAATTCCAATCTTTGACTGTATCAATGTATACCGGTAATTGTGTTTGATAATTTCATCTTAAAAGTAAAATTTCAATGTTAAGTTAAATTCCATTTTCAGGAATCGTAGAGCATGTATATAGATTATTACACTGTACACCAGGTACCATGAGTGCCATAAAAACAGACAACAGAATCCTGTCAGGACCCACGGTAGGTACCTAACCTCACCCAGGGGCAGAAACTTTATATATTGACTATGCAACTTGCAACATGGCAAAAATGAAAGAATGTCATTCTTGACTCCAGACTCGTTTCACTAAATTATCTTACGATCATATTTGTCATAAGTATGGTATTTTGAGAAAGATGATCTGGCTCTTTAAAAGCACTGAAAGCACAAAAAATTTGAGGCTTCAATTTCATAAGAAATAACTTTTGGGCTAGCAGAAGATAGTTTTTTCTGTGCAGACTAATTGCCACTATAATGTACAAATTGGATGGTAACCTTGCTGTCAACATCCATAATGAAATATTTTGATTAATTGTTTTGCACCTTTAATGTAGATTTGCAAAAGCACAATGTTTTGCACTGGATTATCTCTCACTGTCACTTAACCTTGCACGTTAATTCATCAGTATAGAATACATCATCTTCACAAAGGCTAAGTTATTACATCTTCATCTTATACCTTGACTACAATGGCCACAGAAGTTTGTGAATGCAGCAATTTGATTGGATTGTAAGCTAGAGGATATAGCTAATCTAAGCCCTTGACAGAAAGACTGAGAAAAAAGGGCTCTGTTTGTTATTCGCTGACGTACAATCACATCAAATTGATGACCATGAAACAAAGTAGGCCATTGCAGTCAAGGTATAAGATGAAGACATAATACCTTGATAACCATTGTGAAGATGAGAATAGAAAACTAGACAGCTAACTACGAGTGAATCAAAAGGCCTATAGATATTTTTGCTTAAATCTTTTATTTTCTTTCTCTTTCCTTCTGTTTCTGTGGCTCCAGGAATCTCAGCATCGTAAAACCCCGTCTGGTAGATCCAGTGAATCGTATCTGAACGGTTGTCCTCCGGCCATACGTATCAAAGATCGTCAATACTATAAAAAACTTCTGGATCGATATTTTGGCAGTAATCACGTTCTGTCCAACGACAGCGTAACTTTAAAATATGATCGTACCTGTCCCAGCATTCAATTACAAAGTACATCAACGACCGGACTGAAACAGCAAGGTCGACCAATCAGAGAATTGTCGCATCATTTCCCTCAAGTTCGCTTGTCGTATAGTACGGCTAATGATAATAAGTTACTGTCACATGACTATGATACGTATGATGTGCTGGACAATGAAAGCTTCTATAATAACGAGAGTTATTTGTCAAGTTACGTTCCGTCCAACGAGGTGTGTAAAGGTATTTACAGTTTGCTGTGATTTTAAATTTCCCATTCCTCGCTTATTGCTTTCGTAATTTTTAATTTTTGTGTTGAATTTTGTGTTCAAGTTAAGGTTTAATCATGAGTTAGAAAAGGAAAATTTATTCATTTGTTTTTCCATTTATCAAAATTACTGTAAAATTTGCTCAAACAGTTGTCCAAGTTTGAAATATTATTTTGAATATCATATTTTTTGGCGTTTTTTATACAAATAATTAAAATATGTTGGTTTCATTGTTTTGTTGAATGGTTACTATTTTCAAATTCCTGCTTTTATAAAGAGAATAATTAGAGTTTTAAAAGTTCTACTTTGTGTTTGTTGTTTTGTTTATTATGAACTGTTTTAGTTGTGATGCTTCTTCTTTTTAACAGACAGTGTGTTATCATTTGTTTGTTATTATTGCTTTAAGTTTAAGTATTTAGAGACTAGTAATGGTCTATTTAAGATGAAAACACATTACTGATAGTGTTGGTTCATTGCTTGTTGCTTGGATTTGTGTTTTAGTTTTTCGTCTCTGCTTTTAACTAATGTTTTGAGGTCAAAGATCAATAATTATCAAGTACACACACACCCACAGCAAACATCAGATGACAGGGTCCTAAAACCACTCAATTTAATAGTGCACACAAAGCATTTAACATAGCATATTTAGCTATCACATGCATAATTAGTCAACAAGTTTCTAGAGACATTCAGATATACACCCACCCACAAATTTATGAGGAAGCCAATCAGAAGATGATGTCCAACAACCACAATATGGCATGGTGCACTCTAAGCACTTAGCATTTAGTGTATTTAGCTATCACACACATATGTAGTCAAATTTACACACAATTAAACAAAATAAAAATATCTTAGTTTTTGCACAACATATGTATATTTTGTAAATGTATCTGGGACACTGATACCATCAATTTTCACCATTCCAATTTTCATTCAGATATTCGTGGTTCCTGCAAATAGTTTTGTTGGAATTGCAGCAACCACAGACATCTGATTGAAAATTAGAATGGTGAAAATTGATGCTATCAGTGTCCCAGATACATAAAATTTTTAGAAAACTTCTTTACAATCTCTTTAATAAATTAATCTTGTATCTTTTTTGACAAAAATATTTCTACACGTAAAAGAACTACACACATGACAATAAAAACTCTTAGATGAATATCTGTTATAACAGTAGAATGAGATAGTTTTACCAGCTTCAAGCTTCTAGTGGAATCAAAATTTAATTTAGCTGTTTAGAAACTTAATTCAGGCTTAATTAATTTAGTTTGTTAGATGTTGGTTGTTGTTTGAAATAACAAGTTTGATGTGTCTTTACCCTGTTTTTCAGCACGATGTGGAACTTCCTAATGACTCGCAACTTTCCTGTATGTGTCTACAGTCTCCTAATACAGTAGCACAAGCACCTAGCACCTCACAACAACCTAGCACCTCACAACAAGCACCTAGCACTTCACAACAAGCACCAAGCACATCACAAGCACCAAGAACCGCACAACTGCTACAAAGCATCTCTGAATGCTCGCAACATCCACTACCTACAAATCTCAGTGTACAACACTCTACATCACTCTCTAATAACGCCCCCACCTGTACATTTAACACCATGCCACCTAACACTATGCCCTATAACTCTAACCCTCTCTTACCCACCTTCCTACCTCTGTCCCTGCCTCTCCCTGCCGTCACCTCATCTAGATCTAACATGACAGTAAATGTTTCACTTGTCACTCCACAGTATGGTCCTAGTTCCCGCTGGAGTAAAACAGGAAACCTTGCCAGTATTTTTGATAGATCAACGCTAGGGTTACAGGTATTATTTTTAAGAAAACTAGTGGTAGATAGTTTTGCACCTTCAGTGATGATTCCAAATATAAATAAAAGTTTACCTGTTCATTGCTAAGTTGACACCAGGCTCTGTATTGGAAGTATTGGCCGTAGCACTTTTGGTTAGTACAGATCATTGGAAACCTTTTATAACATCATTTGCTTGGTTATGTAGAACAAATGGTGATTGTGAATTCTAATTTCGGTCAGCAATATATTTCCATATTATTCTAGTTGACCCAGCTGTAAATGGATATGAATAGACAGGGAAATATCAATGCAGAGAGGTTTGGCCAAGACAAACTTGAAAAAAGGGTACCTCAATTTTTATCTTTGGACAAAATAATTGTGTCTTTCTTTCTTAAAACAAGAAGAATGTACTTTATTTTGAGGTAGATGGCCTGTTCGGTTTCATGTAGGCCGGCCATTTATTCCATCCCCTACATAGTTTGTATTTATATTTGGAATTGTCACTGTTGCAGAAAGATCCCAGTACCGCTGAAATAGAATAGATGTTAAGCTTAGCTCTTTTTTTTTTTTTTTTTTTTTTTTTGCTTAATTTTTCTATCAATATAACATCTTTTAAATTTCTAGATTAGTTTTTCTATCAATATAACATCTTTTAAATTTCTAGATTAATTTTTCTATCAATATAACATCTTTTAAATTTCTAGATTAGTTTTTCTATCAATATAACATCTTTTAAATTTCTAGATTAGTTTTTCTATGTCTCTATAGTATTTGATTTGTTTTATTCTTTCTTCTGTCTTATCTTTCTTATGCATGGGCTGATCATTTACCAGTCATGTCTGACTTGGGTTATAAAATATGGGCTCCATGTATATTATTTAATATCAGTGAATTTGGAGTCAATTTGGTGAATTGAAAAGTAAACAGAATTTTGAAGTAATAGGCCTATTAAATTCTGATGTCCTGAAATTGAAACAGAAATCTGAAATTCAAGCCTTATCCAACTTTACGTGTATTGTGAATTTTATGCCTCTGTCTTGTCTGTCATTCCTCTTTCATTTTAGCCATCTTCAGTTCTTTGTTTTATATTTGTCTGTTCTTAGATTCTGTATTATTTTACATTTCCATCTGTGTTTTTGATTTTGATCAGCTGCAATCCTAAATGTTTGTAACAAAGACTTATTTATTATTTATGTTAATAATTTAACATTGTATGAATTATAATAAACAGCTGAAATGTTTTATCTTCAATCTGTGCATTTTATTATTTCATGTTTTTTATTAAAATAAATGAAATAAATCATCATCTTCAAGTAACTATAATAACTTAAAGTATATGATGTTAACATTAATGACCTATAGTCACAAGTGGGCATGCAGAAGTTAATTTTTGATTTGAGATTTGGGTACACACATATGAAGTCTATTGCTAATTTATTAGCATCTGCTTTTTAAAAGTGGACAGAGTCAGCTACTCTTAGCCTCCCCTCCCCTCCCAGTCTGGTGGTCACATATACTTATTTGTCAAAATTCTTGAAAATTTTTAAATCATAAACATATATCTTGAGTTTACCATAAATCTTTAATATTTTCAGAGAAACAAACTCACCAAAAAAGCGTTATCGGGGCCACTGGGTGGAAATCGATGTGGACAAATATCAGTATTACCGGAACCGGATTATCGGAACTTCCTCGAGAGCGAGGTCGAGAGAGCTCAACGGGTGATTGTACGAAGTAGTAATGATTGGAGGAATGATTTGATGACCCCTGTACAAAAAACACGAGTAGTTAGTGCTCATACTAAACGTGATTTAGGTTTGTTTTTCTCTCTTTAGTGCAGTACCATCCTTTGCTCACCTATTTACAATTGCTCTTAATCCAGAAGTCATAAATCTTGATGAACCCTATCAATTATAATAAAAACCAAAAAATACTTAATATGAGTTAATATCTGTGTTCTTCGAGCAAAATTATCTGTGGTTTTTGTTAAATTTCCCAAAATGATTGGGAACCAGGCCACATATTCTCGAAATGATCTTAGCACTAGGATTTCCTAGAAACAGTGTTAGTTCTAGGGCTTATATTAGCTTATATATAAATTTCAGTATGTATAGATCTATTTCTAACTCTATTTTTCAGATTTACCACGATTCACGCCACATTTGTCTCATGGATTGTCAGTAATCTCTGCTCCAGCTCCTGTCGTCCAGCGTCCTGATCTAGCTGTTCGTACTGACTTCTCCTCACCCAATACAATCAGTCGTATCTCTTCCCATCATTCCCTCAGTGACAGTCCCGCACGATCAACCAAATCACAGCGAGTTCGTGGAGCATCGAACAACATCAGGTTACGGCAAATTGAAATGCGAGAAAATCACGCTTTTGTTTATAGTTGATTGTAGATATTTTTTAACACAATTCACGTTTTGATAACATGAGTTGTACATGGTTTGACTATTTGATTTTTTTTACTTATTAGAGTTAGAACTAATTTTTTTGTGAACTGTAGAAATATAACGCTATGTGAACTTCAAGCAACTTGTCTATGATATATTTAATTAAAATGAATCTATGATATTTTGTGAGAACTAACTAATAAGTTCAGCTCCAATGATCAAAATTTTTCAAAAATCTTTGAAGGAATTAACTGGAATGTATTTAATATCCTTAAGCGATTGTATTTATTAGGGTTCAAAATTATGATAAGAGGGTTTATTCTCGAAAACTTCACTACAGTGAAATATAGATTTAAAGGTTTCTGATAGGATAATTAAACTAAGCTTAAAATCAATTCTAGTGATTGACCAATCAGATGACTGCAATGCTAGTATCTTTCTAAGTTAGTTTTCAAGAATAAGGCCCTTGTCTGCTTTTCTTGTATTTTGCCGAACTTGTATACAAACAGGAATGATTACACTCTGGGTTAATCCATCCTTGATCTTGATGTACATTAGCCATATTTGAATAGAAACCAGAAGTCTCAGTGGAAATTGTTATATATTTATCTGAAGCCATTGACTGTTTATTCCCCAAGTATTTTACTAATGAATATTTATTGTGATTTTGAAGAATTGCCTTTATTTTATGTGATAATTGTAAAGTAGTATTTTTATTTTGTGCCAAGAATTTGACTGTAAATTGTAGAGGAAGCCATATTGTTTATAGTTTTGAGAATATTTGTAAATATTTATCAGGGATTTTTTATTTTAAATCTTCTTTTGACTGAAATTGCTGAGTTTTGCAGAAATAACCTGTTGACTCTTAGTTATTTATTTAAAAAGTCAAACGAAAATATTTGTTAATATCTGTGAACAATTCAACATTTGAAAGTAACCAGTCAATTTTGTTATGAGGTAGAACTGAAACAGTGTATGTCAATATAAATTAAGACAGGGGTCATTTGACTAGTCTATAAAAATTATTGTTACAAAGATGTTAGTGAAATTAAATTGTGATATCAGCCTTTATTTATCTCTCTGTGATGATTTAACAAGAAATCCTGATCTCATTATTATAATATTGATAATATTGTCTTTCTTTTATATTATTATTTATTGATTAATGGTGATATTGTCCGACTAAAATAATTAACCTCTTATGGTAACATTTTTGAATATAGGCTACACAAGATAAGTGTATTTAATAAAATACTTTGAGATTTACTGATTATTTATTAGAGAATTTGAATACAGTGGAGCCTCGTTCACCGCACATTCCTGCTCCTGATAAAATCGTGCGGTTTAACGAAAATCCGGATAGTTGAAACATGCCTTTGCATATCTAGAGTTATGTCCCTTCCTATTAGGAAATCTGTCAAGTGTTATGTATGCAACATGTGATAGACGTGTTTATTGTTTTAAAATAGAATTGATATTCTGAGAATGATTTTGCATTTCTATTTGTACATGTATTGCTCAATATTAATTCCCATAACAGACAGCTTGTGTTTAATATTATGGAATATTATCACATGTTCATTAATATTTTTTGACCAATTATATATTTGTCAGAGCTCAGCCTTCAAACGTTGATATTTATATTATTTATTTTTCCAGTGGAAAATATTGAGTTATTTTATCAGTATTATTAAAATTGTAACTTACATGTGAAGAGACATAGTTGTTGGCATTGATTGTTAAGAAATTTGTCTAGAAGCTTGTACACTTGTTCCTATTTGAATTGCTCATACTTCTCTCTGTGATTGATTGTACAGCACATTATTATTCTATTTTGTGCTCTTTGTGATATTTCATTAAATTGAGAGATTCTCATTGGTTTAAATTAAAGGGGGTTATAAAAGCGGACTTCATATTAAAGGTTTATTAAGGCTAGCGTGGGAGAAACTAACTGCAGAATTATGCATTTTTGAGCAGCCCCGGCCTAAAAATTCACTGAAATTAAGGAAAATTCTGAAGGACTTTCGCAAAGGCAGTCTTCAAAAATCCTCCAAATGCTGTTCTAAAAATTTAAATTCAATCTGTGAATGGGATTCAGAAACTGGCATGATTTTTTTTTAGGCCTGACAGCCATGTCCAAAGACTATTCGACACCTCCCTGTAAGAAAAATACACAGAAAGTGTTATCGTAGTATAATTATGACACAAGACATGATAATAGCATAGAATATAAAGAGGTTATGATATATAATGTATGATACAAAAGAATGATATGTAGAGTAACTAGTGATAGTTTAATTGTCTGAAAGTAGACCATCGTTAAAACCTTTATAAATAAGACTGTGGTTCACTTTATCAAATCAAAATAAACCCCTGAATATGTAGAAACGTGTAGACTGGATGATTTGAAAATCATGCTACCTTTACACAGTTACATTTTGACTATTCATTATCTCATAAAAGTTACAAAATTTGTAAATCATGACTTCATTGCTCCTGTGAAATATGCAATAGTTTTTCATCTGAGGAAGAGACCATAGAAACTATATCTCCATGGAAAAAGATTGAAGCTCTGAAGTGCAGAGTTATTGACACAATGAAAGTAATATCATCTCATAAAATGCAAGAAATCTTTTCCAGTCCTCTTATATGTTTGTATTTTATGAGATTCGTCATATTGAACTGCTCACAATTTTATTCAAGGTGATATTCTATGCAGATTAGATGATAATCACTTGGCTATAGTTTTTTTGTTTTCCTCTTTCTCAAGGTTTAAATTTAACCACAGGAATATTTTTCGTGTTCCAACATTTATCACAAACCCATTCAGCATAGATAGCTTGAGTTAACATTTTAAAAGCTGGCTCTGTAAGTCCTGTGCATGTTCGATGAAACCAAAAATTACATCCACTTTCACACAAAATACCCTGATCATTTTCATGGACTTCTTTATGACAAATTCCACAAGGATAAATTGGTGGCGCGTTCGGATTAGATTGATTATAAACTAAAGATTGATTCGGTGGGTAGATTTTCTCCGCCATTGTCACCTGTCCCATGGGAGGACGAGATCCGATCGGTCCGCTGTTAGACATGGTGCTAGGAGGCCCAGACGATACAGCCTTGTCATCAAAAGGATGAGCTGCTATGATGGGTAGTTCTGGAGAATCATTTCCTGGCAATAGGTCAGCTAAACTGTGTTTCTGAAAGAAAACAATAGGTAAGAGATAAGAAGGCCTGAATAGTAACAAGTTAAAGTGTTCAGATGGCCTCAAAGTATCCTGAGCATGATGAGGACTTGTGAAGAAAGTAGAATACCTGGCTGTCAGGAATATTGTGTTTATCTTCCATCGGCATCTTGACTTTCTTATCAACCTCTCCTTAGTATGAGTTATGTTGCACAATCTGAAATAGACAGTCCACTACATATATAAATAGATTGAGACATTAATCGATAGAACATCAAGGCAGCATCCAACTCACTAATTACATTTTCCCCCTGCAAAGTTAGAAATATCAAGCATGAATCCAGTAGTAGACACCTGAAATCAATTGTTTCTCTGAATGAATATACAAAATAAACTTGCAAGCAAATAAGAGCCACAAGCACAGTCAGGAAGCCTAAAGTTGATGGTATACAATAGCCTGACTCTATACCAACCTCTTGAAGAATGAAATCGTTACTTATCAATGAATTTCACATAAAAATTCATGAAAACAAAAGAAAACTTGTCAGAATTTAATTTTTGCCCTCCATATTGACAAGGGGAATAACTCTTAATTTCTGACAAACAGAGCTGACATTCAAATTTTGGTACTATAAATTTTGCTTAAAAAGTCACTGGAAACTTTTTGCTCATACTTTCAGCTAAAACAAATTCCTTTAAAATTTTAGTCTGCTATTTGTATTTGTGGCTTTTCCTGATAAAAATATTTTAAAGAAAACAAAACTAAAAGTTCGAAAATTTTCCTAAACAAACAAATCTAGCAAAATTTTAAAATGGCAGCGCGAGGTCGATACTTCAGCCGATCGAATCCTGCCAATTACCAAAATGTAGACTCCTTCCAATCAGGCAATGGGCGTAACAGCTATGGCCCTCAAAGGTACTGGCATCACTTTAATGCAAATTGGCAAAATACGCCCTAAAAACACTTTGTTTGCATTCTTTTTTGTGATGATAATATTTTTGAAAACGAAACTGAAAGTAAAAATATAAACAAACAAGCTGCTGTCAAATTGATTAGCTGATAATGGCAAATTTAATTCATTAAAAGAAACTTGATTTTAAATTCCTTTCCTTAACATCACAAGAATCAAATTTTTTGAAGAAGGTTTGAGATAAGCCTAAAACTTGTATAATAGGCCCTTAAAAAAGTTAATAGCTTGACATTGAAATTTTTGTTACAGAGGGTTTGACAACAATTCACCAAGACCATCTAGTGGTAGCAGTTACTCCAGTATGAGTGACCCCATGAGGGGTCCACGCCCTAACCAGCCTATCTGTATTGGGGAAGAAGTTAAAATTGGTGTCCAGTTATCAGTAGAGAGGTTCAGATTGGACCCAGATCAGAAAGGTGAAATAATCGGGATCTCAAACTAACTTTGTTTAGAGGAATTCCTCTATTGTTCTTACCAAAGTGGTCAATTTTAAATTTCCGAATTAAACATAATTTGTTTTTAATTGAGATTTCTAATGGCAACCTCCTATGATCCAATTTTAGCCTCAGACACCCTTTACCAAAATGAAGCTTTGTGTCCTGCCTATCTGCTATAATTTTCTACCAGCGTGTCCTTGGCCAAACTTCCTGGTTTTTTTTTTATCCCAGAATGGCCCCATTTACAGCTTGGTCGACTTCAATAATAAGGTCTACACCAACCAAGATTAGAAGCCACAACCTTCCTTTGTTCTGCATAAACAAACAACTGACATGCTACAAACTTTCCCTTGTCAATAAAATGTTTATTATTTACAGAATTGGAATTCCCCTACTCTTTGACGGCCACAGAAAGAGCCTACATTCACAGACTTTGTGAGAATTATAACTTGAAATCTAAAAGTCATGGGTAGGTATTTTTGACAGATTAACTTGTCCTGCTAGAAAAATTGTCTTTACCCCAAATTGTAAGCTTACCCCACTTCATTTTCTATAAATTTTTTCCCCCAAATATGTGCCAGAATTGATTCTTTCAATTTTTAAAAGGAGAACTTCTTCAGACCCTTGTGGCTTGCCTATTTTTTGAATCTCAATCTCAACAGTTGTCCCCCTAAAGGGTCAGTCTGCCATTTATTTGCGCCCCCCGTCGCTGGAGGCTGTTGCCATTACTGCAGCTTATAAAACCGCCTCAGTTGATAGTTTTGTTGTTATATTTTTCTAGGAAGAAATCTAATCGATGTATCACTATTTATAAAAAAGGAAATTCAACGTCTGGGCAATCGTTTACCTTTCAATTGGCTAGAAACTCCCAACATCAAATATTGAATCTACTTCAACGTTTTCCTCTCACTAATAAAGAAATTCAAGAACTACAGCCCAAAACTCAGAAGTCACTTTTTAATGAAGGTAAGTAAAAATTCTGAATTTGTTTAGTAATGATAAAGGTGTGTTTGATGATTGAAAAGGTTAAACAGAGATGGAGTTTTACTTCCGGCTTCTTGTTACACATTGGGCTAATGAAGACCAATATTGGCATGCACTGTGCAATGAGGAAAATGCTGATCCATGGTTTACAAGCAACATTGGAATGACTGTCAACAAAATTTCTGAATTTTTTTTTTGCATTAAACACTAGAATTTGAGTTTTTGAAAGTGCTGATTATTATTATTATTATTATTAATTAATTCTAGTTTCACGAGATATGAATTTTAAAACGACAACAGGGCGTCTGAACAACGGTGTACCACAAGTGCCATGTAAGAGAGGTAACTCTGATTTGAATAGTTTTCGCGAGTCGTTACCGATACAAGTTTACAGTAGAGATATTGTATCAGCCATCAATAATAATCAAATTGTATTGGTATCCAGTGAAACAGGCTCTGGCAAAACCACTCAGGTAGGACTTTTTCAATAATCATCAAGGGCCAGAAATGTCTTCAAAGTATTCCTTTTTTGGATTTCCGTATTCTTTTATCTAGGACCAAAATATTCATATTTATTTTTTGCACTTTTTTTAAGACTTTTCAGGCAATTCCTTGCTAGAAAAATGGGTGAAAATCTTATATTGTTATCTTCATCGACACATAAAACGCCAAAAGTACGGCCAATCACAATGGAGTTAGATGTCACATGATCTTAGCTGTCAAAATACACGTATTGGACTGCCAGGCATTGAGCAGTAATATACCATTCAAGTTTAGAAGTTAATTTTCTGGGAAAGCTTTACACGATTTGATTTTGATTTGATATTTATAGGTGCCCCAGATGATTTTAGATGATTGTTACACCAATAATAAACCTTGTAGAATATTGTGTACCCAGCCCCGTCGTATTGCCGCTTTAACCATCGCGGAGAGAGTAGCCAATGAAAGGGGAGAGAAAATAGGTCAAACTGTTGGCTATCAAATTAGACTGGAAAGCAAGTAAGTATTTTCGTCTGATATCATGAAAATCTTATTGAAATTTTTCATGAGAGATCTGAACAGTGTGTTTTTGATAGAATCTCTCATTCTCTTTCCTTACTTAGCTCAAGTTCAAATGTCAAATTTCGAATGAATTTATGTTATTTTTTTAGAGTATCACCAAAGACGTTACTAACATTTTGTACGAATGGTGTTTTATTACGAACATTAATGGGAGGCGACTCATCTCTGGCTTCTGTTACCCATGTGATTATAGACGAGGTCCACGAACGAGATAGATTCAGTGATTTTTTATTGATCGTGTTACGTGACGGCCTGGTCAAGTTTAAAAACCTACGATTGATTCTAATGAGTGCTACTATTAATATAGATCTATTTGTCAACTATTTTGGACACTGTCCTATAGCTAGCAGTAAGTTTTTAATTTTCATACTAACGTGATCAGGCCAAATATCTTGTTATTGATATTAGCACCGTACCCAACTATCCTTTTACAACTGGGTCAACGGGAATTATGGGGAAAAACGATTTATTCAAGGTCATCTGACTTTCACTCCGACAGAGATAAGAACCCACAACCATCGTTTGTTCGTTGTAACCAAAATATCCTTTTTTCTATAATGAATTTTTGAGTATATTTTGTAATTGAATTTTCATTTGTTCTTTCATATAAGATTTGAATGTTATTTAGAAGCGAGACAAGACAATCATTATGGGATAGAACTTCTTTAATACACCACGTGTTGAAATGTTATGTACCCATGTATTATAGAAGGGAGTTTTATGCGTAATTGTTGTCTTGTGTTATATATTTGTTATTTTGTTTATCATGAACAGTAATACTATCTGTATTCTAGTCCCTGGTAATTTATTTAATGTAGAAGAGTTTTTCCTAGAAGATGTTTTAAAATGGTAAATATGACTGTCTTATCTTTATTTTATATCTATAAAGTTTTAGACCAGGATAGATTATGTACAGCATGAATTAAATGGCCAAGAAATCAATTGAAGCTGCTGAGTCTAATGAAAATTTGACAGAACTTTCATTTTGTATTGTCATTAGCTTTTATTTGTACTCAACCACTAAAGCTAGTTTCTCTATAAAAATCTGGCTAGCTATATTAAAACAGAACCTGAAAGTTTTTCTGTACATTCATGACCAATCAAATTTCTTTAAAAACAAATTATACTGAAACAGTCCTCTAGTTCTGCTGTTTGTGATGCGTATGTTTGTCAATATTTTACGTGTTGTATTTGACAGGACTGAGTATTCTAACAGGCTGATGAAAAAATTTAAAAGTGAACAAGGAAAAGGTAAAACCATTTCTTTCTAAACTAAAAATTCTGTTTTCGAAAATACGTTAATAGTTTTCATCTGATACAGTGTAAACATTAACAGAAATTTAGTTTTGCTTTGATTATTTTATTTTGGTAAAAACAAGTGTATTAATAGTGAAAATTAAATTATTTGGTTGCCTCTTTGTTGACATTTTTCTACCTAGTTTCCCCCTGTCTGTGAATGCAAGGGGAGGCTGACATAGAAAAGCCTCTAGTTGTTTGGCTTAGACAATAAACCAAGGCCCTGTGTGCTAAAGGCTGTGTACGTTCCATTGACAGTTGGAAATTGAGATAATGCCAGCTAATGCAGCAGTCCTGACCAAATTTCCCTCATTGCACCCTGCATGGCTTCGTCTGTTTTCATTTGCCCATAAGCTGCAGAAAAGTAAGACATTTATTTTTTTTATTTATTCTATAAACAGTAAAGAAACAACAAGAACAGTTATCAGAATGGTGTGAACAGAGTGTTATAGAAACAACAACTACCTCTTCAGCAGAAACACAGCCATCCAGTGACATGGTTAATACAGATACAGATAATACAGATAGTGCTGTCCAAAGTACAGGTAGTGCTGTCCAAAGTACAGTTAGTGCTGTCCACAGTTCAGGTAGTGCTGTCCACGATACAGATAGTGCTGTCCACAGTACAGGTAGTGCTGTCCAAAGTACAGTTAGTGCTATCCAAAGTACAGTTAGTGGTGTCCAAAATACAGATAGTGCTGTCCAAAGTACAGTTAGTGCTGTCCAAAGTACAGTTAGTGCTGTTCAAAGTACAGTTAGTGCTGTCCAAAGTACCGATAGTGCTGTCCACGATACAGATAGTGCTGTCCAAAGTACAGGTAGTGCAGTCCAAAGTACAGTTAGTGCTGTCGACAGTTCAGGTAGTGCTATCCACGCTACAGATAGTGCTGTCCAAAGTACAGTTAGTGGTGTCCAAAGTACAGTTAGTGGTATCCAAAGTACAGTTAGTGGTGTCCAAAATACAGTTAGTGCTGTCCAAAGTACAGGTAGTGCAGTCCAAAGTACAGTTAGTGCTGTCGATAGTTCAGGTAGTGCTATCCACGATACAGATAGTGCTGTCCAAAGTACAGTTAGTGGTGTCCAAAGTACAGTTAGTGGTGTCCAAAGTACAGTTAGTGCTGTCCAAAGTACAGTTAGTGCTGTCTATGGTACAGATAGTGCTGTCCACGATACAGGTAGTGCTGTCCGCGATACAGATAGTGCTGTCCACGATACAGATAGTGCTGTCCATGATACAGATAGTGCTGTAGATGATTCAGACATAACAGATGATAGCATGGTTGTAAGTTGAAGTCTATCTATACCCTATTATGATATGATAATAGTTAAAGCCCCTGTTCAACATTTCTTAAAAATTGGAGATAACTTTAGTATTCCGCTCAGTGGTTTAAAAATGCATTCATAGATGTTTTTGCTGCAGGCTACCTCATTTACTATGCTAGGATAGCCTGACTGTTTTAGTAGATCAAAGATATTTGTGTTCATCGAGGTCTGATTGGAAAAATAATCACAAACAGTGCACTTTATCATAATTTGAAAAAATAGTAAAATAAACTATACAGACTGAACTTATATTGTGTTGATAATTACTTAAACTATCTAAATATAAAGTGTTATGTTTTAAATCTGATTCCAATGAGCAGAAATATTTCTGTTCAACTATAAATATACATTTCATTTCATTAATATAATAGATACAGACGTCATGTGATACTGAAGAATTAGAGGAGAATTTAAAACATGAAATGGACAGATTGCTGAGTGAAATATGGTTGACTGGAAAGGAAGAATTATTTTCTCAAGTTTTTCATCTTATACTCAGTGAGAATGTCAGTGGTAGGTATTATGCTAGTTTTAATTCTTATATTTTGTCATCACAAACTTTTAGTCTTTAAAATTGTCATGGAGGTGGTATTAAGAGTGCAGAAGTTGCTAAAGCACAGGCCAAGGTCACAAATAAAGAGATCAGCTAGGATATAAACTAGGGTGGAGTTAGAATTTAGTTTTTAACATAAAAACCGTACCAGTCAGGCCATACAAAATAAATAGTCTGTTTTACAGGCCCAAAAATGCCTAATTGTTGACTTGAGTAACACGTCCAACTCCAAAACACGCATTTATTTTACATAGACATACCTGTTTGGAATAAAAATCACTGGTCAAAGTTTTAAGCAACATTTCAATGTGTTTCCCCCATCGTCCCCTTACTTACAATTGCTATTGAAAGACTTTAACCTATGAATTTCTTCAATAACTTTTCTGAAGGTGATACATATCAAGGAATCTCTATTGTAATTGTAAAAACAAACAAGTGTATGAATTCTTGTATTATTTCAGTTGATTATAAACACAGTGAAACGAGTGTAACTTCGTTAATGATAGCGTGTGGTCGTGGGTTTAATGAAATCGTTGAGAAATTACTCAGTCTGGGTGCCAGTGTAAATATCAAGGCCTCCAATGATTGGACTGCAATAGACTGGTGTCAGAAATTCAACCAGATTGATATAAAAGATATGCTGGAGGCTCAATTGTAAGTTTTATTTGGTTATTGAGTGAAGTGGGGGGGGGGGGAAGTGTGGTTTGTTGGAGGGTTTGGGGGGAAGACACCAGATATTTTTTCATATTGAGGGGAGGTTTTATTTACGAAAGATTACAATTTCGTTTATATTTTTGTTATATTATTTGTCTCCATTGAAATCTAACAAGTGTTCTACCACAGTCTTGTTCTAATGACATTATTTCTAACCAATCAAAGCTTGTCATGTAGGACCTGTTTCTTGATATTATGGGAAGAGGAAACCCAAATAAGAGCAATATGATAGATACTTTTGGTTTCACTATCCTTTTGTGTATTTTTTCTAGATATATGGAGAAATCTAATGGCGAGGACAAACTCCTGAACTCTGGTCAAATTATTTTATCAGCAGAAGATCAAGAATTACTATCAGCCTACCAACATAGCTTCGATGATGAAAGAGTAGACGTCAATTTATTATTTAGCTTGATTTATAAAATACACACCACTCAGTCTGATGGTATGTATAGAGTGCCAGGGAGGAGAGGTAGAGTGGTGGGAGGGTATAGAGTTGGTGGGGAGGGGGAGTGGACAGTGTTGTGGGGACGATGGGACACCACACAGTCTGTCGGTATGTATAGAGTGAGGTGAGGGAGAGAGAGGTAGAGTGGTGGGAGGATATATATAGAGTTGGTGGGGGAGGGGGAGTGGATAGTTTGGTGGGGACGATGGTATGTATAGAGTGAGGGTCAGAGTAGGAGGGGGAAGAAAGAAGGAGGAGTTGTGTCAATAGAGATAACGAGTACAGTCATGCACAGAAAAAAAAGAGAAAAAAAAAATCTAGATCTGGACCCCATTTCACAAAAATATTATGAATAGATTTGTCATAAGAATTGTATTTCTCAATGTAAACTTCAACACAAATTCTATAGTAAGATGTTTTGAAGAATTCAATTAATCTAATATTTATATAAAATAAAATGGCTGATATTGTATTCTAGGAGCGATACTGGTATTTCTGCCAGGTTATGATGATATTGTTGCCATTAGAGACAAGATAGCAGAAGATAAAAACTTTGAACAAACACGGTACGGGTATCACATAAAATCTACGCCAATATTCTAGATATCTTTCAACATTTCAAATCTCTTGGGTTTGAAAAAACTGAAGCTCTGTGTACTGCAGCCTGCCATGTTAAAGATTCATCAATAGATTGAATTTGCGACAGTGTAGGCTAATTGTCTCCCTTGAACACAGCTTGTGTTCTAAGCTCAATTCGGATCAAAAAAATTGGGGTTATCCTCATTTTGCTACTTTCACTAAATTTAAACTCTTTGTCACACATTGCACAGCATCTGTCTTGATTAGCCCATGAAATAACCTCAAACTCTAGTTCATTGCAATTTCAGGAATAATATGAAAACTTTTCTATTTATAGATATGTGGTATATGTCCTACATTCTGCGATACAGTCATCAGACCAGAAACGAGTCTTTAGATATACTCCCTCTGGTGTCAGAAAAATTGTAAGTACTCAGAAAACAATAGTTACAACTAGGTTTTTCGAATTACATGTATGAACGTAATGTTGTCCGACAATAATCTCCTTCATATCTCGGGATCATTTTTACAGTTTGGTATATTCTCTAGAAATGAGAACCTTGAACTCTTCTCACGAGTCTTCTTTTTAAATAACTCAGAATCTCTCTGTATTACTGAACCTTATAGAACTTCAGGTGGTGTTTGGTCAGTCCCAAACACTTCTAATGCAAGACCAAATAACATGTATTAGACATACAAGAATTCACAGTCATATGCCCCCTTTAACAAAATCTCACCAAGGTATAGGAACTGCAAAATTACACAGTTTTAGATTTTATTTATATGTAAATTATAAGTTGTAGTAAGATTAGTTTGTGTTATTTTCTAGATATTATCAACGAATATAGCTGAAACTAGTATAACTATTAATGATGTTGTTTTTGTGGTAGATTGTGGTAAAGTGAAAGAGGTAGAGTTTTTATTTATCTTGTTAAAAACTTATCTTGTCTGTTTGTCTCAGGATTCCAAAACGCTCTTGGCATGTATTCTCGAAATGATGTTAGCGCTACGATGTCCTAGAATGAATGTTAGAAGATAAGAACCTAGGATATCCTAGAATCAATGTTAGAAAATAAGAACCTAGGATATCCTAGCACAAAGATCGTTTTGAGAATATGTGGCCAGTTTTCTTAAGAGACTGAGATTGTCAATCAGGTGTGCCCATCATGACCAAAACCCCCATTTGTCATAACTTCCTTGATAATAAAGAGTTTTCAGTCCTGTTTTGAAATTCCAATACTGTGCAATCAAAATAAGACCTATGAATTTTTTTATGAATAATTTAAAATTATCAGGTAGACAAGTCGATTTCTAACAAGAGCAATGTATTTTTTTTTGTAGAAAACATTTGATGCCCTATCTGGATTAACTATGTTAAAAAGTAACTGGATATCTAGAGCTAGTTCTCAACAGAGAAAAGGAAGGTGAGAATGATTAATGATATATTGTATTGTTTGGACACTTCAGAGTATTTTGGGGTTAAAAATAATAATCTATTGCATCTGTATTGACAAAGTTTTCTTTATTGTTCACTGCAAGACTTGCCACATAAGGTGCAAAACAGTAGGCATCATCACTTGATAGTAATGAAAGTATCGCCGTGGAAACGTCACAAGTTATATATTTATTTATTCAAGTAATTGTTTTTATATACTTTTGTCCCAGGGCCTTATTCTCGAAAACTGGAATAATATTCTGATTTTAAGAAATACCGTCATCTGATTGGATAGAATAATGCTATTTAAAATTCGATTTTTGTGTAAGAGTAAGATGATAATGGTATTCTCAAAAAGCACTGGTCTAGGTCATGAAGTGGGAAACAAAAACAAAGGATATGATATTAAAAAATGATTATGACTAAAATTGTGAAAGTATGAAAATCGTGTTTTTTCCTAATGGTTCTAATGATTGACTAAATTCATCAGTTAAGTTTTCAAGAATAAGGCCTGCGTTGTTTATTCTGTAATTGGTAATACCAACTGAAGGAAGAAGACAGTAGGTTGTATATTGCTGATATATTTGTATTGTAGAGCTGGTAGATGTCAAGCAGGAAAATGTTATCATCTATTCAGTCGAATACGATACAGTAGCATGATGGAATATCAGCAACCAGAGATATTACGCTATCCATTACAGGTTGGTATCAGTCAAGCGTTGTTTTCTACAGAAACAAACAAACTATTGTAATTTATGATACTGATAACGATTTGAGGATTCTTTCTCATTGTTATTTCTGATAAATTACAAATGTTTCCTCTAACATTAGATCACAAAACATATCGCTTAACTTTTAAATACTCCAGTCTCTATCACAAAAGCTGCTAACGATATCTAAGGTTTTAAGGAAGGTATTGAAGGCTAGGTTTAGAGATATGATTAGGATAACAAATTATGCTGTTTGTAAGGATAACAAATTGTACTGTTTATAAGGATAACAAGTTGTATTTATAAGGATAATTTGTATTGTTTATAAGGATAACAAATGGTACTGTTTATAAAGATAACAAATTGTACTGTTTATAAGGATAACAAGTTGTATTTACAAGGATAATTTGTATTGTTTATAAGGATAACAAATGGTACTGTTTTATTAAGATAACGAATTCTATTGTTTATAAGGATAACAAATTCTATTGTTTACAAGGATAACAAATTCTATTGTTTATAAGGATAACAAATTCTATTGTTTATAAGGATAAAAAATTAGGTTTGAAATGCTTTAAAGTGTTGCCACTCTCTTCAGCTCTCGACAGAAATGAGGGCCAAATCAAAAACCTGGTTCATTATTGTTCAGTGCGAGGTATATAATCTAAATGTTTTTGTTGTAAATTTGACAGGAGTTGTGTTTAGATACGAAGTTACTAGCACCAGTTAATACCACAATAGCTGATTTCCTCTCCAAGGCACCTGACGCTCCTGGTCTCCTTGTTGTTAAAAACTCAGTCAATATTCTTAAGGTAGGTCTTATCTTTTATTCAAAAATATTATTTCAGTGATATCTTTATTAACTAATTTCTTCATTTCTTTATAATATAATACATCCCCATAAGTTTTGTACTTACTATTTTTTCAGCTCACATGGAACACGTTCTGAAATCTGTTCCAATCTGTCCAGTTGATTCCATGAATTGAAACTCTCCAATCGTTCGGTCCCCTAGTATAACAATTGGAATTAGACTTTGCGGTACTTTATATAATAAGTTCTCAATACAAATAATTGTATCTTTCAGCAAATAGATGCCCTAGATCCTTTTGAAGATTTAACAGAGTTGGGTCATCATCTAACAGACCTGCCTATAGAACCTAGACTAGGAAAGATGGTACTTTATTCTGTTGTGTTGAAATGTCTAGACCCTATTTTAACTATAGTCTGTTCTATAGCTCACAAAGATCCCTGTAAGTTTTGATTGATTTTTGATAGAATTTCTCTCGTTACACACAGCAAGGTCCAGGATTCCTGCATAATGAGATTAGACGTATTAAAATATCTATACACCAAGGGCTGACTCATGGAAGCACTGAATTACAGAATTTTTCTTACCGCGAGAAGGATTCAAACCCAAAGCACCTAATCACTTAACAGAAAACAATCCACCTTGCTAGAGATTGAGCTATCCCACTGCCACCAAAAAAACAGTGTTCCAGCCCTGCATTAGAGAAAAAGTATTGATGCCCTGAGAGAATTTCCTTCATTGCACACTGCATTAAGACCCACGATGCAAGTTTAGATGCATCCCGATGGAAGCAAATACAATACAAAATGGTACTTGTTAAAGTATACAAAGTTGATTTTAAAATCAGTTTTAGTGATTGACCAATGAGATGAAGAGAATTTTTTTTTGTGAAGAGTTCAATGGAGACGAAAGTGAGAAATGTAATAGTCAGGAATGATGATGTGATTTTTATGAAAATATATATTTTTTTCTAGTTGTGTTGCCAACCCAAGCGCATGAAAAACGTGCCAGTGCCCTGTCTAGACGTAAATTTGCTGCTGATACCTACAGTGATCATATGGCTCTACTCAGAGCTTTTCAGGTAGAGTCACTTATAAATGATATCCCTTCAATGTTCTCGCTTTTCAAAAAAAATCTTGTCATGAAATATTGTTGTTGCATGAAATTTTATACTTACAAACTAATATTATAAGATACAGTTCTATTTTCTATTTACATGTATTTAAGATCCAAATCAGCCCCCTAAAAATTGTTAACCTGTCCCTTGATTGTGCACCTTTTCAGTATTAATGCTGTGATATTCAAAATGAACTTATTTTCTATCGATAGATTTTGTTTTTTTAGAAATGTAGATTTAAATTGATGGTTTATTATTATTTTAGGCGTGGCAGAAAGCGAGAACTGAAGGTTGGGAACGAGGATTTTGTGAGAAGAATTATTTATCATCAGCCTGTATGGAGATGATTGTTGGAATGAGGTATGTAATATTACATTGTATCCTGAATAAAGCCCCGTCGTTAGGGGACTTGGCCCCAGCAAATGAGAATTAAGCCCCAGCAAAACCTTCTTCAGTGCACCAGAGATTTACAGTGTTTTGTACAAATAAAAAAGACATATTTTGATATGTTTTTTGGAACCTCAAAATTTACGGAAATGAATTAATTGGTTTGGACATAGTCTTTAAGTTTTCTGTTTTTGAAGCTGATAACATTGGTATAGAAGATGAAAAAGACGATAGCTTGGTTCAGTTACACCTTTTTGACATTCTCAAACAATGTTTATCACCTGGTTGTCATCTTGATGTTGCAGAACTCAATTATTACCTGTTGATACATATTGCCAAAAATATTCCATTATTTCTTACCTTTCAGAACCCAATTATTAGGTCAACTACGAGCGTCAGGATTCGTCCGAGCCCGAGGTGGAGGTGATATACGCGATTTAAACACTAACTCTGAAAACTGGGCTATCGTCAAGGCTGCCCTGTGTGCTGGAATGTACCCTAATTTGGTCAAGGTCAATAGGTCAAAGAAATGTTTAATGACACAGTAAGTACTAAAGTTGCCTGTTTGGAGATATGTTGGAGGGGCATGGAAAAGGGTCTGGTTGTTTGAATGGGACAATAAACCATGGCCCTGTGTGCTACAGGCTGTTTCTGTTAAGGATCCTTTCTACCAGTTGGTCCTTGTCCAAACCTCTTGGTATTGATCTTTCCCTGATTATCCATACCCATTTACAGCTGGGTCGACTGGAAATATTGAAGATGAGTGAAGATGACTTATACGAGATATGCTATTTCTATTTTTAACAGGAAACATGCTGATGTACAGTTTCACATGTCGTCTGTTTTGAGTGCCCCACCTTCAGCATCTTTGAGTCGTAAAGGACGTAAAGAATTAATCACAACACTGCCTTCTGATTGGTTAATATTTGAAGAAATGACGAGGTTCCAGAAATTAGCGTGTGTACGATGTTGTACTCTAGTTTCACCGATGGCCGTCGCGTTATTTGCTGGGTCTGCTAAATTACCAGATAATGCTGTACAAGAATCTGAGGGCTTCGATGAAGGTTGGTTTTAAATTTTATTTCAGTAGAATCGCCCCACCATACCAATGTAGAAGGTTATTCATTCATTCATTCCATTTCAGTAGAATCGCCCCACCCCCACCTTACTGATGACGAGAGTAGTGAGAGTGAGGGAGAAGATAAGGAAGATATGAAGAAATCTAGTTTTAGTATTGACGAGTGGATTTCATTCAGAATTGATAAAGATGCCTGTCAACTTGTCTATGAGTTACGCCAGAAATGGAATAATTTATTTTTACGTCGAATGAGAGCACCTGCTAAACCTTGGTCACAGATGGATGAGGTAGGAATCAGGACAACATTTTTATATGATTATGAAAATATAGATATATTGTCAAGCAAAGATATTGGTGCTATATAATAGTGATGTATTATAATTATTATGCCTCAATCTATGTTGGAATAATGTGGACTGTGTTTGAATAAATATTTTTCCTTAATGTTCCATTCCCTTGATCATTCTACTTTCAAACAATTTTGGACCCAAGTTTGACAATGTTTTTGATTTTGGATTTATCAACAGCAGCAAAGCCTGAGATTGCTGGATATATGCCTCACCTAAATACTCATTTAACATTGTATTTCTATTGTATTACAATCTGTAATTCGACAGAGACCTCTCCTAAATACTCACTTAACATTGTATATCTATTATATTACAGTCTATAATTCGAGCTGTTATCAATGTATTAACAAATGAAGAACAATCTATAGGATTACAACAACCAGCTGGAATCGGACAGAGACCGAGGCCCATGTGTAAGTTGCTTCATTCTAGCAAAATTCTTTTTTTGGTTTCCTTTCATTTCTGGTATTTAAGTTTGTCGGCTTGGTAGAGAGTCCACATAGCTAATAATGTTATTTGGTATTTAGATTTGTCAACTAGACATTCCTTTCAGAGAGTCCACATAGCTAATAATGTTTGGTATTTGAGTTTGTCAGTATGGCATCCCTTTAAGAGAGTCCACATAGACAACTAAACATCACTTTCAGAGAATCTCCAAGCTAAAAAAGTTTATTTATTTGAAAAGTTAAATTTGATTCTGTATTATTGACAAAACATACATCTTTCCAGGAATCCATATTTTCTGATGCACTTAAGACCATTATTTTGAAATGTTATAGATTTTTTGGACTGAATCAAGATTAATTTTAGACCTATTTACTTGTATTGTAGCCACAGAGACTATGATGTCTGGCAGCCATCGTGGAGGATATCACCATGACGACTATGATAGTAACTATGGTAATAGACGTGTGTCTGGTAAAACACCAACTAATACTCCCCCTCGTAGAAACCAAAACTTCAGTTAGTAAATCACTTTTTTTTTTTGTACTTTGTGCAAAAAATATCCATTCTGAAAATGGAACAAATGAATTTTGTTGAGTATTAAGAATATGTTCAAATTCAACCTTCAAGGAAATGATCTCCAGAACATATAGTCTGCAACATCTTCTTCTATTCCAGCCTCTGATTGATATTTTGAAGTTTGTCAGCTGGAGTAAATTCAGAAAAACTAAGCTATGTTTTATGGGGATTATTATGTCTCTAAACCAAAAATGAAAATGAAATGAATAGAGTTTTACGTCCTACATTTGAAAAAGATGTCACTAGAACAGGACTTTGGAAAAAAGCTTGTTAGATTACAATGAAGACAACAATATCAGAAAAAAGAAACTGTAACTTCTCTTCATTGCACAAGGTTTTGTCTTGTCCCATTTCAGAGAGTCCATCATCTAAATCATTAGAGGGCAGTGAGGGTAGTTCAGGTACAAATAGTCAACGAGGCAGCACCAATAATACACCATGTTCCAGTCCACAACTAGCTACCACTCCCTGTACTGGTAAATGGATTGAACCTAAAGATAGATCTACAGAGGCTAGGTAATGCTTGTAATTATTATTTGGTGCTGATATGTTCGCATGTTTAAGGTCCCTCAATTGTTTCAAATTGAAAAAATAGTCTAGGCTAATACATGTCCCTTATTGCACACTGAATGGTGTTGCTTGCCTTCGTTCTCTAAATATGAAGTAAAAAGTACAACTTCATTTCTTTTCATGAGAGGAGTGAACCTTCATATTATTTTCAGATCTCATGTGAATTATATAAAGCTGAAGCCATGTTCATCAACAAGCAGTAATTTATTTAATTATATTATATCTCCTAGATATTTTATAATGAAGTGTCGAAACCAGAAATTATTAGATATCTGTATCAATAAAGGAATATGGGCCACCAATAGATATACTAGTGAACTTCTTAATATACTTTATAAGGTTAGTACATATTAATTGATTACATCGAAAGAAAAAAAACAACCATGGCAATGATATTACATGGTTAATAACTTAGGTTCACAAGGATCCTTTCTACCAACTGATCCTTGGCCATACCTCTTGGCATTGATTTTACATGGATAACAACTTTGGTTCTTAAGGATCCTTTTTTACCAGCTGGTCCTTGATAAAATATCTTAGTAATGTTTTTTCAAGGATATCAACTTAGATTCTTAAGGATTCTGTCTACCAGCTGCTCTTTGGCCAAACTTCTTGGCATTGGAACCAGCTGGTAGACAGGATTCACATCATAAAATATAAAATTGTAAGATATAAAGGATAAGGATAACAACTTAAGATGACGTGAATCCTGTCTACCAGCTGGTCATTGGCTTAACTTCTTGGGAATGATTTTACAAGGATAATTTCTAAGGTTCACTAGGATTCTGTTTACAAGATTGTCCTTGGCTAAACCTCTTGGTAATGATATAATCTTCATGTAAACAAATATTAAGGTAATAGTTTCAATATATATTTATAGGCAGGTAAGAAAAATCTTTATAAAATGTTTATGATTTTTTAAATTTCTATGTTTTAGGAAGTAAAGAATATTTATCTGATCTTCTCTCTAACTGGCAGTAAAAACTTCCATGGTTACGCTCGAATGACTTCTGAAGTCAGTAAAGAGAAATCTAAGGAATTCTACTCCATAGGAACTGGTAACTTCTCTATAGAATGGATCAAAAAGTAAGACATTTTTGTCAAAATTGACTAACGCTACTAAAAGAATTTGATGCCATAACCTGAATTATAATTTAGTCTGTTCGCTGATGTGGGTTTATGTGTCCTTGCTACTTACCTTAAATTAGTAAATCATTCCTTGGTCCATTCATTTCATGTTCTTTTGTTTTAGGGGTAACATCAATTTCCAGAGTATCCAGGGTTTGAATAATGCATTCAATGATGGTCAGAGAGTACAGGACAGTGGAGATGGACAGGTTTGGATTTTCTTTTAGAGTAATTTAACAGGTGTTTATACACCAGATCTCATAGGACACATTACGGTATAACCCATACAAGTTGTTTAAACTATACATACTGGATACTGTACAACTCGAACCACCCAACATCCTCTGACCTTATATTGTGATGTTATTTCTATTTTGTTGTATCTTACTGTGTCGTGTTGGTTTGAGGACACCTTTAGACTGTCATTGATCAAATAAAACTAATTTGGTTCTCTTCTGTCTTGAAGTAGAGACATGAGAGCAAGTACTACTTGTCAAACTTCAGTAGGGAAACAGGCAGTTGTGTGACTCTACTCTTCAAACTTCATTAGGGATACAGACTGAAATAGATCAGTTGTCTGAAGATCTCTGCTTGTCAAACTTCATTAGGGACACAGACTGAAATAGATCAGTTGTCTGAAGATCTCTGCTTGTCAAACTTCAGTAGGGACACAGGCTGAAATAGGTCAGTTGTCTGAAGATCTCTACTTGTCAAACTTCAGTAGGGACACAGGATGAAATAGTTCAGGTGTCAGAAGATCTCTACTTGGCAAACTTCAATAGGTCATAGGTCAGTTGTCTGACTCTACTCGTCAAAGGTAGACATAGGTCAGTTGACATCTTAAAGTGTAAAACTCTGAATAACAAAATGTTTCAGGTTCTGTTTTAATATTCAACTTACTAATTTATTATCAGCTGTTTGTGTCATAGTAGCATGGATTATTCTTATACATGGTTTCTAATTTCATTTAATGAGTAAAGTTAAGCATAGTTTAATAATAGTGATTATGTTGATTTTTACGTTTAGGAATTGGACCCAAAAGTGGCCGAAGCTTTGCTGAAATTATGGGACCAGAAGCCCAAGTCGTCCAGACCAAAATCTGCATCATCAAGTGGAGAGAAATCTTCCGAGAATTTGTCTGGATCTTCATCACGCTCATACTCATCAGTGTCTCCTAGTTACACATCTAGTCACCATAGCAACACTAATAACAGTAATTACTATCACCATAACAACCATCAAGGTCATGGACGTATGAATATGTATCAGCAAGGCGGAGTGAATTATTCGGGATACAATATGTATGGAAATCCAGGAGGGGTAATGATGCCGTCTGCCAATGTCTCGCCTCGCCCTGGAATGTCACCAGTAATGATTTTACAGAGAGGTTCACCGCAAGGTCAAGGTCATCCAAATTTTTCTCATCACCGTGGTTACAGCTCAGGATATCATCATGGAAACCATAAATAACCTTCCAGTTGTGTATTGGGCATTGGATATGTTCGGGAAAATCCGAGAGACTCCCTCAGAAGCTGTGAATTTTCGAGCAACTTCAGTATTCAAAGGAAATATATCACCTGTATGCTTTTGATAATTTCGGAAATGAAAATTTATTAAAGTTTATTGATTTTAGAAAATATTACTAACAGCCTCTCATCTGAACTTCCATGTTGAATGTTGTTATCAAATCGTTTCTCAGATTTACTAATTTTAAAAAATTATTTTTCGAAGATTTTCCAAAATAAAAAGTCTATGTTGTTTATGGGTAGAGTCAATAGAAATTTAAACCAGAAGTCATAAGCATTTGAAATACCAACATATTTAGTAGAGTTGATCTGAATGTTTTCTTTCCCATTTTTTCTGCAGGTTATTACTTTTTCCATGAATGATCTAACAAGATTCTTCTTTAAATCGTGTTCTGTCAAAACTTCTTCTCCATCATAAGTTGTAATAATGGATACTAACTAATACTAAAGACTGTTAAAAATTGGCTTTCAATATAAGTTAATGTTTAAAAACGAATCTCCTAGAATTCTTCAGAAAGGAAATCTGTTATTGAACAAAGCATTTGATTGGTAGAATATTAAATGACCTAGAATAATCTTGTCAGATCATGGATTGAAAGTAGAGTCACCCACAGAAAAGACACAAAAAGATGCGAAACCTGCAGATTTGCATTTTCATCAGATTGTCTCTCTAAAGACAAGTTAATAAATGTTTAATGAATGAAATTTTCCATCTCGGTAAAAGAAATATCTGAGATAGTTTATCAAGAATTGTTTGTTAATAATTGTTTGTTTTGGAAATGAATGAAATAATTTATGTTACTGATTAAAATTGAAATAAAATTGTTATTTATTCTTTCAACATATTGCCTTGTTTCTTCTGTCAATTTTATCTGTTTGTAATAGAAATCACATGGAAATAATATGGTGGGTGGGGTTCAGGGGGGTCACCCGCCCCCTTCGCAGCCCCGAAGACATGTTTTTCGGGCAAAAATCTCATAACTAGGTTAGAAATTCGGGCACCCCCACGGACGTAAAAAAACTGGCTCCACCACTGTGCCGAGAGGTTTAGCCGAGAACCATCTGGTAGAAAGGATCCTCGAGAACCTAAGTTGTTATCCTTGTTCAGAAAGGTTGTTTCTTTCTACTGTAATAAAATTGTATCGAATACGAGATTAATGCTCAATAAAATTTTATTCAATAAAGTAATAATTTGACTCAAGACTCGCCGGGTTGTCATATTATTATCTGTAGTGATTAGTTTTCAATCAAGAGTCCAAAATGTTGAATATATTCATCAACGGTGAGCTGGGAATCTTGATTCTTGTCTGCTGCATCGAAGAGAGGCATCACGTCATCAACAGAACAGCTTACAGAGATGTTTGGACAAATGGTTTCTGGTGGAGTACTTCTCATTGGGAACATGTTACGTACTTCTGATTCTTCCAATTGTCCATTCTTATTTTCGTCAGCTTCTGTAAAATCCACTTGAAATTCTTCTCTAGTCAAAATGTTATCATCATTTTCATCTATAATCATGAAATCTCTATCAGCCTGTACAAAAGACTGTATCTTCATTACTGGTCCAGTTGTTTCATTCATTCTAGTCGAAAAGGTCGTCAAGAATTCTTGTAGATCTACCTCATTTCCGGTACCGGGAAGCAACTCAAACACACCTCTGATATCAGTACAATTAAGAATGTTGTCATTATTTATGTCCAATGCACGGAAAACTTCCATAGGATATTTGGGTGTATCTGGGTTGGACTGTAACTCTTCATGCGTAACTTGACCATCATTGTTTAAATCAACTAATAGAACATGTCTTCGAATATTATCGTACGTTAAAACATTGTTGTCATCAAAGTCAACAATATAAAATTGTTTACGAAACTCAAGCAGGCTCAAGACTCCCGCCTCGGATCTGATATTCGTCAGGATAGCTGAAAAAAAAATATCTAAAATCACCTTACAATAGCAAAATACAAAAAGAACGAATCCATTCACCATTTATTCACATGGTTCTCGCTCGTCCAGAAAGATTTACATCATCAGCTTGCCGGAGTGCCCATCATCTGGTAAGATGGTCAAGATTGAAATCGGTTGCTTCAATAGAGGTTCACTGTGTCTTAGTGTTTGACAATAACACAAGTCCGGTTTTGAAAATTTTCACCATAAGTCAAATTTGGTGTCCATACAAGGTTGGACCATCAAGACATAATATTATACAAAGCCCACATGCCCCACACGATACCAAAATACAGCCAAGTCTTAATGGGAAATTCTACCCCTCGACTGTATTGTGTATTGTGGTACAGTGTTGGACACTGGACAGTAAATATATGATAATGGTAACTCATGTATGGTTTAGCTTTGTATAGATACCAACATTTATGCCAAATTTGGCGTTAATAGTACTAGTGTTTTCAGATTTACATTAGAAGGAAGGAATGTGGGATATATTTTATGTCTAGACTGTGTCATTATGACCTCTCTGTATCGATTTTATATTTAGAAATATTAAAGCAGAGCACGCGATGCTGTAAATCTGAAAACACTAGTACTACTGGCGTGGAAAAAATGCCAAAAATGGATCGGACTTACTCCCTTAAAAGTGACATTCTGACAAATCTAACCCTATATCCCATGACGTGATGTACGAATGAGATATATTAGGGCCAGGTTTGTCTTGCTATTGAGAAGAGATATACATTAAAAAACATAAATAATACAGAATATAATTACCTGAATACACTTGGTGTACAGCACAGAGATAAACTGAAAAATACAACAACTCTTTGTTTCGTATATACTTTTAAGTACCCTTTTGTATTTTTCATACAGGCCAAGTTGGATTAAAGAATATTAACATAAAGCAGCTTTTTCTTGATTATAGTACAGGACAAGTCATACCACCTGAAGAATTTCATTATTCTTACAACTAACATTACCAATATCATATATAATAATGTGTATACCACTATACCACTATATAGTTGGAAATATCTGCTTCTATTCCAGGAGTAGAGTCAGCAAAACGAGGCCCTGTTTTATGAGCATTTTACACATCTCCGAAAATGCATTTTTTCTAACAAAATATTAAATTACCTTAACGATGACTGTAAATTAGTATTTGATAGCTTTCGTTTTGTTAGTTTTACACGCCTCTTTTAAATGGCTTATCAGAGATCAGTTTCGTTTAAATATGTTGGAACCACAGACGTGACTTAAAGGGACATTCTCAAATAATTGTAGAGAAATATGTCTGATGTATTCTAAAGATTTCAACTAAAAATACCGAGCCATTATAAAGCTAAACACCAAAACTGTTTAATTAACAATTAGTACTCTCCGTTTGTAATTAACCCTTTTAATACAAATTCAGTTTGATCAAGTAGATACATAGATATAAATAGCATACCTTATAAATATTTTCAGGTAAAATTTAGGACATCTTGGAAAAAGCGGAAAGCCCCTTTAAATGGTGTAGGGGGATCATGATGGCTGAACTACAAAAATATCCATCTTGCCCAATATTTGGGTTTGGCCGATCCGATTTAAATAAATATGTTTAGAAAATTTCCATAAAACAGAGCCTAGTTTTTCTGCCTCTACACCAGCTGACAACTGTCAACATAGCTATCAGAGGCTGGAATGGAGGTAGATTTTTGGTCTAATTATATATATCTATGTTTCTATAGTAACTCATATTATCTTACCACAAAATATAACAGCTACTCGGTTTACCATGTTGTCAGTATAACAGTTCGGGGTAACTCAACTTCGATAGATGGTGGTTGGTAGATGACAAGTTAACGTTCGCTTCCAGCGGATGCTGATAACGCAAACTAGGTAGTTGTTGGTAGTCGTGGTAGTTGGTGGTTGAACTCTTGTTGGTTGGTTGGTAGATGACAAGTTAACGTTCGCTTCCAGCGGATGCTGATATCGCAAACTAGGTAGTTGTTGGTAGTCGTGGTAGTTGGTAGTTGAACTCTTGTCTCCAGCTCGGACTTTTATACCCCCAACTGAGGCCCCCATAACAACAACAACCAATAATAGCCACCCGAGCTGCCATTAAAACAAGTAGAGTAATACGGTTTCATGAACTCATTACAGTTATCAATTTTTTTATGAATATAACTCATTTTATTACATTATCAACTATTTCATTTAGTTTGTCACCAAAATACTTGAAGAATCCTTGTCTCCACTCTACTTCTGTTTATTCTGCTCCTTCTTACCTTATAGTCATAGAATATTTTATGGAATTTTATGCCTATTTAATTTTTCAGCAGTTTAAAGGGATTGTAAAGAGGTTTTCTAAGCTTTAGAAAAACCAAAACCAAACTAAAATCCTGCTGAATTTAGTTGATATTGCAGTGGCGGCGCCAGACTTCCGAATAGGGGGCAGACTGACTCAATGGGGGGACAACTGCTGAGGCTGAATTCATTTTGGGCTACTCTGTGGTGGTGGCATAGTCGCAAGCCTCTCATAGAGCGTCTTAGAGAGTTCTCTCAAGAAAATTTTTAGAAAAAATGATTCGATTTTGTGCATTCTGATACATATTTTGGAGAAAATAGGTAGATATTTAGATTTGTTGAAAATAAAGTGGGGGTACAATTGGGGGTGCAAACCACTTTTCTAGGGGGGCAATAACTGATAGAGACTGATTTCAGCTTCAATTCAGAATTTTGCAAGGCGAATATAGTTCCAGAAGGATCCTGGCTACAGGCCTGATGAAGCCAGGGGACTAGATAAAGTTATGAACATTAGAACATGTACTAAACAGAGACGGAAGTGACACTTATCTCATTCAATCCTGTGTGACAGTCAGATAGTGCTCTTAGTTGTTTTACAAGTTTTTGGCTTTAAGTAATTTTCTTTTATCTATCCTCTGTTGTTTTTATAGGCACATCTTTAATCATGATTGTTATTGTTATATCCCTTTATGGCTTCTATTGTTTCACCTATATATCTTGTGTTGTTTGGTTGTTAATCATTTTACTTGAAAACGTTACCTGTATGTGTTACTAAACGTAGTATGTAATAAACCTAGAAGTAGTATATCTATATATCTTGTGTTTTTAATGTTAACTGTATGTGTTTCTAAACGTAGTATGTAATAAACCTAGAAGTAGTATATCTATAAAACTTGTGTTTTTAATGTTACCTGTATGTGTTTTGAAACGTAGTATGTAATAAACCTAGAAGTAGTATATCTATATATCTTGTGTTTTTAATGTTACCTGTATGTGTTTTGAAACGTAGTATGTAATAAATCTAGAAGTAGTATATCTATATATCTTGTGTTTTTAATGTTACCTGTATGTGTTTTGAAACGTAGTATGTAATAAATCTAGAAGTAGTATATCTTTATGTCTTGTGTTTTTAATGTTACCTGTATGTGTTTTGAAACGTAGTATGTAATAAACCTAGAAGTAGTATATCTATATATCTTGTGTTTTTAATGTTACCTGTATGTGTTTTGAAACGTAGTATGTAATAAACCTAGAAGTAGTATATCTATATATCTTGTGTTTTTAATGTTACCTGTATGTGTTTTGAAACGTAGTATGTAATAAACCTAGAAGTAGTATATCTATATATCTTGTGTTTTTAATGTTACCTGTATGTGTTTTGAAACGTAGTATGTAATAAACCTAGAAGTAGTATATCTATATACCTTGTGTTTTTAATGTTACCTGTATGTGTTTTGAAACGTAGTGTGTAATAAACCTAGAAGTAGTATATCTATATATCTTGTGTTTTTAATGTTACCTGTATGTGTTTTGAAACGTAGTATGTAATAAACCTAGAAGTAGTATATCTATATATCTTGTGTTTTTAATGTTACCTGTATGTGTTTTGAAACGTAGTATGTAATAAACCTAGAAGTAGTATATCTATATATCTTGTGTTTTTAATGTTACCTGTATGTGTTTTGAAACGTAGTATGTAATAAACCTAGAAGTAGTATATCTATATATCTTGTGTTTTTAATGTTACCTGTATGTGTTTTGAAACGTAGTATGTAATAAACCTAGAAGTAGTATATCTATATACCTCGTGTTTTTAATGTTACCTGTATGTGTTTTGAAACGTAGTCTGTAATAAACCTAGAAGTAGTATATCCATATCACTTGTGTTCTTAATAATCTCATGCATATTAACTTTAATTATCAACTTGTAAATTAATATGCATAACATAATTAATATATTTATAATTAAAAAAATCAATCTAGGCTACATAGCTCCGCTATCGATGGACCAGGAAATTTTTATTATTTTTAATTACTATTTTTCAATTTAAGTTGCCAAATGTGCGTTGAGAGTTCGGTGCTATTT